AAAGATTCATGTGTAGATATCACTGGCCAAAACAGAAACGAACCCAAGGTGTGTTCTATTGCTACATGTTAGCCATTCTTTGTGCACTCGCCATTTTAAAAGAACTTTATTAATAAAGATAACAAGGTATATATTAGCGGTCACTATACGGACTCGGAGTAGTCAAACTCGAAATTTCTAAAGCCAAATCCATGAGAGAACTTCTGGCATGCGCTCGATTCAACTGTATGAATAAAAACCGCCGTTTAGTTTCAACTCAGTAGAAACTATCCATGAACTCGGCAAATTATCATTGTTTACCTATTTGATGATATAACTCAAATAAATCCATCCCTCAGGCGTTTCATAAAGCTATTTTTCGTGATTTGACGAGGTACACGCGACGATAACGTAACATTGTTTACTAGAAAAGGTCCGGAATTCGATTCCCAACACGTCTAGTGACTATTAATTACAATTAACAAAATGATCCATAGCTCTACTTCGAGACCAAAATTAATGATTTGCGCAAATATCTCTGTTTGGCCAAACGAAAAACCAAGCCTTCACAAAAAATCGCGCCATAAGTATGTGAACCAAGATGGCGGTGTTATTTATAAGTAAATGAATATCGGTTTTCATATTTTGTATATTTGAAAATTTCGTAATTCACTACTTTGTAATTTTGTTTTCGATAAATGAAAATAAAACACATCCCTAAAATAAGACCTACTGTTATTTTTTGAAAGAAAATTGGAATGAGACTTTGTTTTATTTTCACATTGTCACATACATCAGTTATTGATTTTCAGTTGTGAACATTAAAAATACTTTCCAGGAATGCATTTGAAATGTCGCATTATCAAATGTTAAAAAAAACTCACTCTGCGTAATTTGTTTAATTTAAGACTCTCAGAGGTTCTCAAAAATTTTAGGTCGCTCTCCCTTTTTAGAATTTGTCGAGTTTGGCCCCACCTCTAAAATAACCAGCTAATAATGAACTACAAATAACGGACAATAACGCAAAAGTATTTTTTTTATTCAAAAAACACGTTGAAAATACGTGGATGGAACGTAAATAACCAAAATAAAGAAATGCAAATATCCAAAAGATGGCGGAAAGATCAAATCTAACAATTATTTTCTAATTAACTTCGCGCCCCCTCGAAAAATTGTCTATGCCTTGTGGGGTGCGCCCCACCGTTGGAGAACCGATGCCTAGCTGCACACTCACACAAATGTATTTTGTTTGACCGAGGTTTGTCTTTGGAGAAAGCTATCTAGCTTTAAAGAGAGATAAAAACGTCTAATTCTCACAATTATAACGAGAATATCGGTCAGAGACCGAAAACTTATCGATCGAAAGTTAGGGGATCCCCAAAACAGCGCTCTTACTTCATAGTGACACCTTGTGTCCCATCACTAATTAATTGATAAATTGCTAATTATACGACATAATTCATCCAAAATCAATAGGCGTCTGGTCCGAGATATGATGAATGCACATACGAAATCTGGAGCAGATTCAATTTCGCTTTCGTAAGATATCGCGTGCATCTAACAGACAGACAAACAGACAAATACCTATAAACATACTTACCGATTAAAATCGATAAGTAATGACGTAATGTAAAAAACTGAAGTAAATGACAACTACAGTAGTAACAACGAATGTTTCTGAAGGATTTAACGGAACAAAGTTAACGCCTGGAAGCACAAAAATTCATGACGACAGTTTTTATATGCGACCAGGTAATATATTATCTACAGGGAGAATTAGCAACAAGGACTGTGTCTTATAATAACACATAATGTTTACACAGAGTAAGACTCTTAAAATACATAATCCATAAATTTCCGAATTCAACAAAAATGGGAAGAAAAAAAATTAACACTTAAAACTTTGTTTTTTTTATGATTGTACCCCAAATTTTCAGCAATCTTGGACGCTTTTCAAAAAAGTTTCGTTCTCCCTAGATAAAGTTTCAATTGACCTAAGTTCTGTTTTACGGTCATCATGTATAAAACCGAAGTCTAAGGAATTCTCAGACAAACATATTTTGATATATGATAATTACTCTGCGTAATTATGTCGTTCAGAACGACCCACACTTCTTTTACGTCTAATAGATAGATTTAAATGAGTTCCTTGTTGTAATATTCTCTGTTGCAACTAAAATGCATGCGTCATAAGTTATTAATCGATATAGAGAACTCTTCATTTTAACTATAATTTCAAACAGTTTCATTTTGAACTAATGAAATTCGGGACATTAGTAACAAGTCATGATTCACCACGGCAAATAACATACTTTACACTAAAAACTAGTGATTTCGCTATCTGAGTTCTAAATTCAATTCCTTGAGTAGGCTTGTTCACCAATTCTGATCCATCCGAGAATTGTTGATGTTGTTATTTTAAAATACATACTTGAGTTTTGTTCTGTTGCTATTTTGTTTTGCGTTATCATATATGCGGCTCCTTACAACTTCAAGGTTTAAAATTTTGCTTGGGCGCTAAAAACGGTTCAGAACCACTGAGTTAGAGCATTAGACCAAATGCGTTAGCATCGCAGATTACACAGCTCGGGGTATAGCCGTGGTTGCTTGTTCAGTGCCTTGTACGGAGCGAAAGGCACGTGTTAAAGTTGTATAAGTCACTATAAAAGATAGAATATTAAAATGTGTCTACGTGGCGAGCAAGTACGTTGATATACTAGTACATACATTTGCCTTCGAAATCTCTCAATTACCTCATATAAACCGAAATTTTCTTGTATATGATATCATAAACAATTACGTTATTTCGCGGGAAAAATTTCCCGTTTTTAATTATATCGTCATAATATCATACTATTGAATCACAATGTATTAAAGTTTCGATTAACATGTAAAAATTAGTCATTCAGAACCCGAAAATAACAAGAAGAGTTGATTATTCATAAAAAAAATCCCACAGAGTTAATGAAAATGCTGGGAGGCGCGAAATAACAATTCGACGATTTCGCGGTACCATTCTACCAAGAAAAAAGTGATAACATGAAAACGCAATTTTTCAAGGCTTATATATGATATAGTAGGAACAACGGCTTATTCAGTCTTTATATTTAACGGGCGCTGAAGCAATTGTGCACAGTTTCGAGCCTCGATATGGTATGTTTGCGACAAAAATTATTTGTGATGCCTCCTAATTCAGGTTTAATAAATAGTTAGCAGTTATTAGTATAAGTCGTAAATGAAAAAAATCGGGCGAAAGATCGTTTTACAACGATTTCCAATACATCTGCTTAATTTAATAATGCCGTATGAAGTTTTAATATCTACTTAATACCACCGCCGTATCATCGCATATAAATGATCTTGAATTCGAAAATGAATTACTCTCCGCTGTTGCGAAGTCACAAAGATGATCAGAGTATAGGACAGACAGGGTTTCTATGCTTTAAAATTAAACGGTAAAAAGGCAAAAATAGTTAGAATTTCAGTGTTGTTAATGCTAGTGAGGTTACGAGGTTTGCTTCACGGAAAAGCAAATTAGTTTTTAATTTCCAATTACATCTTAAGGAAAAGAAAAACCATTAAGACGATAAGCATATAGGTAAATGTAGGGCTAATAAGCAAAGCAAATGACGGACTATACATATGACTATTTCAAACGGGATTCCGCCAATGCTGCCAGGTGGTTCCCCAAGCTTACATTAAATAACAATGTAATAAAGTATTTGGTAATTTTTTTTCCAACTTAATTTTGAAGGAAAGGAAAACAAGAAAAACGGTAGGCTTAATAGGCAAATATAGACTATCCTTCATTTTGATTGTAGTACTAATTATTGACAATGCTGTTTTCTGCTACTGAAGGGTAATTGTCATTCTAATTATTAAAGGGAAAGTGTCCGTTTTTACGCAAATTTTTTTGATTTTTCGTGTAATTTTTCTTTTGCAAAAAATTGAATTGGCCACGAGTATTTTTGTGCAACGAATTTAGGCCACGAAAAAAAAGTTGAGAACCACTGGTATAGACATACAACTAATAAGCATATTACGGGCTGTATAAAGGCTGATTGGTATTTAGAAAAAGTAGCTTCTGCTTACTACGCTTGCACGTAATTTTCGGATTTACAAATTTCGGAATTTATTTTTCAGTTACGTCGGGTCATTCAAAAACATTACCTTCTTGCTAGGCTTGCACTCCTATACATTATACAGTAATTCAGTTGTTTTCAAACGAGGTTCCGCGGGACTTTAGGTTTCCGCCGATACAATGCAGGGGTTCTTATGTATATAATGTATGGGTGTCCAAAACTTCGCACATGGATAGTTTTGTTAAGGGTCTGTTTCCTATTCTTGTCGTTATTTTTTGAAAAACCGCATTAAACTACTAGACCAATTGCTGTAGCTAAAGATTGTATTTGTCGCCAGAAGGCTATTACTTCATTCAAAAATTTCTGCGGGCTCTGTGGGATTTCTTTGTGCGATGACGTTCGTCGTGTAGATTACCATGTCGATAATCTACTGTACGCGTACTATGGTTAGGCTATTACCAAAATCCCTCACATTATACAACCGCTGAGATCGCATACTAAAGTGGTACAGATCAGCCCATCCCATTAGATTTCATTTAACGTAAATAAAGACTGGCGCTTACTCATTTGGTTTCTGCGGGACTAACTACTTATCGGCCTTCTATGCTTTTGTAACGGTGGATCCGTATGAGTATGCACGGATGCTATAGCAAGAGTGAGAGAGATTTATTTCGTCAACCAAAATAAAAGCATTGAATCAATAAAAAATATATACAATATACACAAAGTAATTCGGTATAGACTCGGGGAGCGATATGACCATAGGGTCATTTGAGTCAGCTCCCCCCAAACTAGATAGCTATCCTAAGTGATTTGAGAGTTTTGCTGCACACTAACACATTTAAAGGCTTTTTTCTTGTTATAGTTGAACTATGTATGTCTGAGGAAGTCTGACCTTGGTCAGACGAAACGTTACAGAAATATATTTGTGTTAGTGTGCAGCAAGACTCCTGAATCGCCTAATGAAGAATGGCATCCCAATCTCTTTATCATATTTTCACAGATATTCTTATTAAGTTAAACTGTAAAGGTGGGAAAATTGCAAACATGAAAACATCATTGGTTATAGCTGTTCTGGTTTTTGTATGCTGTACCCTGGGCCAAGCACTTCTTTGGGGAGACGATGGCGGGGGAGGAAAACAAAAAATAAGAGGTATGGCTACGAGTACGATTTATCTCTAGTGACTGAAGCAACCACTTTCTATGCTCAAGTGATATCGACAGTACGTCCATGAGTTTTTGCCTATTCTGGTCTTCAGTATTCCAGTTCGAATAGTAGTTCTCACCAGTGGCACGTAGAAGATTTTCGAGTGGTACGCGAGCAGTTTGTTGGCAGCAGAGTTGGCTAAAATATGACGACAACGTTTCAACTTCCATACTGAATGTATTCGCTGAACGGGTTTATAGTATTCCTAGTTCTTGTTTTAAGATCGCCCTCACCCGCTACTGCCTATCTAAAACGAGACGAGACGATGATCAAAGCCTTTCCGCTCCGAAGGCAGACGACGCAAATTCTCTCGCGATTTTGCACGCAATTAGTACGTTGTTACTGCATAAAATTAATACGTTAAAACTTTGCACGAATGTCTGAAATGAATGTAGTGTCATCTAAAATTCTCCAATAGATTTTGTGCCATTGTTCCCCATCCCAAAAGGGGGTTTTGTCGTGATACGCAATCAGTAAAATGTTGGGAAGCACTGAGACATCAAAGTCACAATTTTATGTTTATTCTGTTTAACTTCACATAAAAAGCCGTCTCATAAAGTTAATTTAAACTGCTCTGCCGTCCCTTATAATTTCAACTTAAGATAAATCAAATATTTCTGCACCCACAAGTATAGATCAAAGTATATACAGGGTTTCCGCAATATCTCATACCGTGTTTCCCGGAAAATAAGACCAAGCTTGAAAATAGCATTGCATATTTAGGAATGACCACTTGTATATACACGATAGAAAAGTGCAACGGCTTCTGAGAAAGTCTGCGCCACTCGTAAATTGAGTCTTTCTGTTAAGTGAAATATTCAATTCATGACCGACGCGAGCATTCAATATGTATATAGTCCAATTTTAGTTTAATGTTAGCGTGTTCTAAGTAACTTGCGCCTGCGTCGAACTGCGAAGCAATCGACTTTTGTTTAACTTTCAACTTGTGCATTATTCACTATTGTTCTTAGACTGCAAATGGGTCGCATGGTCAGGTTCGAAATGCTTTCACATAGGCAACGGTGTGTACAAAATAAAACAGACGCGAAGAAAGATTCCAGCCAAGAACGGAGGCGCTGCTTGTAAAGGAAGCAACAAGCGTGAAATAGGTAAGTTCTGTGATATACCGTGTTTCAACTGGCTATTTGGTTTTATGTTTATTTCAAAACGATTTAGGTGATATAATGGGTCAGTGTTTTTTGCGAGAAAAACTGTTCCAAATCTGCAATAAATCCTTTTTTTTATGCTTACTCCAACCGATTGTCGAAAGTTTTACATCTATAGTAACCCAGAACATATCGCGAATTCCACGTAATATTCTTACTCCTTATGCTTTGCCAACACTTTTATATTTGTCATAACCCAGAATATATTTAAGTCACACTCCTTATAACCATTTTTCTAAAGGTCATATCGAACCTAGAGCATACTATGAACCCCATTTCATATGCTTACTCTGACCATTTGTCCATAGTTTTATATTTATCCTAACCCAGAACATACCATGAATCCAACTTCATATGCTTACTCTAACCCAGGGATGGCCAATACCGAATAGTTCACTATTTCGAATACATTCGAAATTATTTTTTTCGAATATGAAATTTCGAATACTTCGAAAATAAAATCCACTAATTGAAGCTTATCTAAATGTATGTAGGAATTTCCATACAATAAGCAATGGAATAACTGCTATCTAGAAGTTACAACCTAGCTTTATTACCAGGCATTTCATATTCCAGTATATATTTTATATACCATGAGTCATGTTAACAGAATTAAATTAATACGGCAATAGTGGTATCGGTGATGGATTTGAATATTTGAGCAACACAAAATCATCCTAGTGAAACGCCCATACTCTTAATTAAACACCAACCATTATCCAAATTATTTGCCGATAAGCGGGATAAAAGAGTTATTTTGGTTATTGTGAGTACAAAAATGCGAATCAAAAATTAATTATATTCGGGAACTATACCACACATTTTAAGTCCGCAGATCGCCGTTGTATGTTTGAGTAATAATACTTTTATTGTTTTATAAATAGGAATCAAAAACTCTTTATAATCGGGTAGTTTATCACACATTCTAAGTTCACAGATCGCCGTTGTATTTTGTAAATACGAAAATAGGAATCAAAAATTAATATTAATCGCGAGTTTGCCACACTATTTATGTCCACAGATTGCCATGATATTGTGCCGAATATAATTAGTTTTTAATTCTTATTTTCGTACTCACGAAAAAATAGTCACACGTTGGAAAATAATTTATACTTTATCCCGCATTTTGGGAACTAATTTGGATAATGGTTGCCATTGGTTTGTATTTAAAAGTATGGACTTTTTACTAGGATGATTTTGTGCTGCGCAAAATATTCGAATCCATGACCGATACCTCTATTTGAAATGCCTTACTGTGTTAATTTAATTCTATTATCATAACTCAAATGTTGGTAAATCGGGCAGTTTACCACACATTTTAAGGCCACAGATCGCCGTTGCATTTTAGAAATATAGTTTTATTATTTTTTAAATACGAATCAGAATTTAATTCTAATTGGGCAGTTTACTACATATTTCATGACCACAAATACCCGTGGTATTTGGTATTAATACTTTCATTATTTTATCAATATGAAAATAGGAATCAATATTTTATAATATCGGTCAGTTCACCACACATTTTATGTCCACAGATTGTCGATACAACCATGAGTTACGTTGAACAGAATTAAATTAATACAGCATGACATTTTAATAAATGCTGTTACCAGTCATGGATTGGATTATTTTGCGCAACAAAAATCATCTTGGTAAAGGATCGATACTTTTAACTATCGTTATCAAAATTATTTGCCAGAAATTATTTTCTAATAAATCGACTTTTTTTTCCAACTTGTGACAATTTATTTGATACGTAACAATTACGGCTATAAATACCGTATTTCCCGGCTAATAAGTCCACATGGCAAATAGGACGATGTCTATTTTTAGCACTCAAAAAAGGGGTTTTTCCATATAGGCCTCCAATAAGACGGGTAAAAAAATTGTGTCCCTGTTGTTCAGTTATGCTAATATGCGCTAATAATTTTATATGTTTAGAACCAGATCATTTAACTATATTTAACAATTGAGCGGTAAATTTAAGTTGTAAAGCGGCAATCATTTTGGACAACCTATTAACCCGAATGTTGAAATAATTTTGAAATGTGATAAGTACTACACTGTACGTCCACGGTTTATTTCACAGCTGTGTTTTCCTGTCCCTGTCGTGTTCTGCTGAATCGGCAAAACGAAAGGGTCACAAATCACTTTATCTCGGTGGCCGTGTTTCTCTTTAAAGTAACGATAACCGGCCTGCGATTAAATATCATGATTGGCAGGCCCTAAGACCCAGATATAAGGTTACACAAATCATGTTTGAGAAGACTCATGCGAATAAAAAGCAGGCCACATCGAAATAAAATAAACATACTTTCTCAATTAGACGCCCCCACCCTGCCTAGAAAAGCGACTCATTAGACGAATTTTTGACGTAATGGAAATGAATTTGTAAATTAAAAGCCTTGTAGACGAATGTCGGCAATGTCCACCCGCGCAAACGTGCAAATATGTCGCAACACTATGCGACGTACCGTCGCACAGAATATAAACAATCAAAATGCCGATTCTATTTCATCATCATTACAATACGTGAGACAGCGTAAAAAGTCGTTTGAATATTCCCGTAAAACGAAACACCACGTTTACGGCGAAAAGTGGCTACTATTCGGAATTATTCGAAAATCAGCCGAAAAGGTATTCGAATACTTTGATATTCGAATACATTCGAATATTCGATTCGTTTTGGACAACCCTATATTACCATAAGTTTTATATCTATGCTAACCAAAAACATACCATAAACCTCACTTAATATGCTTATGCGCGAGAATTGACATATTCTAAAAAGAGGACGCGGCTTAAAAAGTTTGCGAACCACTACACATTTCACATTTGTATATTTACTTCATATATGCAATTTTCATTCAAATACCATATTTACCATTTTTAATCTATTTCAGATTGCACTCCAGTTGAGTATACCGCCTCCGCTTTCTTCGATTCGTTCACAGCTGGTACTGATGACGGATCAACTGTTCGTAGGGTGAGAAGCTCTTACTAATTTAAGACTAACGACAAATATTTGTATTATGCGTTTTCATAAAGTGCTAAAAACATAAGAGTAAGACTAATCTTGGCACTAAGTTTGAAAGGCCAAGGGCCTTCAGGCTTTGGGATTCCTCCATAACATGTGACTTATAATTATAACGGTTTATAAACCTTCAAGACAACCCTATATCCAGTGGTAGGATTCAGCCGGTTCGCACCGGTTCTATAGAACCGTCTCACGCAATTGTATGAGATCAGCGATCTGGTTAGCATTACTGGTTACTGTCAATGTTCTGTTTGTAACAGGACCGGCTGAAAATGTGACTTTTGTGAAGGAACCGACTGACAAAAAATTTGAAACCCACCACTGCCTATATCATAATACACTAAAAATAATAGAACAAACGGTAGTTGTAGATACAAAAAGTTATCTGCGGTGCACGTAACCATAAATTTGCTACGGTCGTCTATCGTTTAAATTCCTAAAATAACTCGACATTCCGCGCTAACGATTTGGTTGTAACACTAAATTTTATTGCTAAAATTACCTAAGTCGCTTAAGCCAGTGGTTTCCAACCTTCATATCAAGCGACCCAACTTATATATTTTGTAAATTCTTGCAACCCAAGTTGTGGGTACTCCTGTAGTAAGCGAACCAAGATGGCGGACACCGGAACGTAGCATGTGTACCATGTAAGGGTTAGGCCAGGGGTTCCCAAGCTTTTTTCAGGACGACCCCAAAGACAACTTTCAAGTGTCCAGTGCGACCACAGCTCAATATATATATTTTTCATGGAACTTTAGAGCTTTTTTCTATTGGACTTTTGAGATGGATCATGTGATGGTATTAATTAAAATAAGCTAAAACCAAACAGTGATGTCACAACAATCACCTACATTTTCTATAGGATAAGCATAGAGCGATGCCTGTGGGCCTGTTTTACAGTAAGCCATGGTACAAACTGCTAAATTTAACATGGTTTGTCAAATCCACCCTCTACCATAACTCAGCGACCCCATGAACTGTTTGCGACCCTACCTACTTATCACTCCGACCCAGTTTAGAGTCGTGACCCCTGGTTTGGGAACCCCTGGGTTAGGCCATAATTTCAGGTACAATTACTACGGGAGTCACTTGGCTAGTCCCCAAACTCGTAATAAAACTTAAATAAGGAAAATTGGAATAAAATGATGGTCTAACCTTAACCTTGTACACATTAATTAAAAAAAATAACATTTACTTTCTGAGAAATTACTTTAAAGTGAGAACTCTGCACCTGTTTTTCGTCAGTAAGTTTTTTTAAATCGACGCGTCGCTTATTTAAGCGAAATAAATGCTGGCAAGCTTTTACGCAGACACGCAATCACTATTATGGCAACACTTCAATACCAAATACAAAATATACAATAAAATTTACTATAAAATAAAATAATTAACTTTTAGGTTTTTATTGAAAAAAGCCAGCGACCCCAAACAAAGTTTCAGGCTACCAAGTTTTGAGTCGCGACCCATAGGTTGAGAAATACTGGCTTATGCTAATGGTTGCTACGACGGCCTACCGGTACCAGAAAAGTGTAAAAAAAACATCACGATTCGGCGACAGTAAGAGATTGGCAACGACAAAGTATAATACCTTCTTCTTTGTAATATTGATAACTAATGCTAACTTGCTTTTTCAAAGCTATAAAACAACCTGTCAGGACTAAGCGACAAAACGTATACTTTTCGCTGCGTAGTTTTCACTGGGTCAAGTTTTTCAATAGTGATATCATTAATGTGTATTGTTTCATTGTTACATCACTTCTAAATATAATACCTATTAAGTTGTTACAGTAGTATAGGTTTAAATTCAAAGTTAATTATAATTCGGTCTTCGGCTCCCGGAAGACACATCTTCAAATTGATTAAAATCTCGGGTAAACAATTGTATCTCGTTGTCAGAGGGAAGTAAAAAAGATGATTAGCTCCGATATAGGATGAACGAATCTCTTTTGATTCCTAAATCCAGTCTGGAGATAACTACCGACTTATTACTTATTGATCTTAAGATTGGTAAGGATGTTGTTCCTTATCGATCTTAAGATCGGTAAGTATGTTGATAGGCATTTGTCTGTCTGTTTGTCTGTGTGTTAGATGCACGCGATATCTCCCGGAAGCGAGGTTGAATCTCCTCCAAATTTTGCATGTGCATTCATCGGGTCAGAAGCCTATTGATTTTGGGTGGATTATGTCTTATAATTATCGATTTATAAATTAATATTGATGGGACACACGGTGTCACTATGGAGTAAGACCACTGTTTTGGGGGATCCTCTAACCGATATTCTAGTTTCATATTTAGGAGATATAAGGATTCAAATCCTGGATATAACAATTGTCTCTCGCTCGGTTACCAAGCCCCGTTTGGTGCTAACTATTTTACAATTGCAGGTCTGAAATGGGCAAAATACGGCCCGTAGGGTAATTCAATCTGGCCCCCTGATGCTGCCACAATCAAGCTGAAACCAAGTTTTGATGTTTAAACTAAAAGATAGCTCAATGAATTTATTGGGGTCTAGGTCAACGTTTCCCGCTGTAGTATATATATTCATAATATTTTTCAGCTCTTCATTATTACAATGATTCTCACACTAGGGCTGGGCATTTCGAATCGAATATTCAAATCGACTCGAATAGTAAATTATTCTAATCGGTTCAGAGCTAAATTTCGAATCGCCGCCATCTTTTTTTATCTTTCCGCTAATGGTCGAGGTGAATTCCCCAATTTTTTATTTTTATTGGAGTCATATTTTTTAACGAAATTCTAACGTATTACTATTTTCTGAAGTGTTATGTTATTCTGTGTGAACGCTGAGTAATCTATCTGAGTGATTTATTCTATGTCTTCAGTAATTCATTTGTTGAGAGGACCAATTACTATAATAAAGTCATTATATATTTTGTATTTGAGATTCGATTCGAAAAAATTATTCGATTCGATTCTGAAATCACAAGGTATTCGAAAATACCCAGCCCTAACTCACACATTATAAACTACATGAACTGCACAAAAGCAGGAGTGCGACTTGCGCATAACACTAGGTTCCATTAAAGATCCAACAAATAACGGAAACATAGTTTTTACGGAAAGTATGGGGGTAATAACGCGATTCAAACAGGCGAAGAGGAAAATTTGATGTGAAAAGCTGTGCACCACCACTGATTTAATGACGCCGTAATCGACCTATGATTGAATAAACCATCCCCTGGCGGAGAGGAGCTCAGCAATCTCTCTCACAAAAATCAAATGACTAATTGTTTTTATATTTACAGACTGGAACTAATTTAGTAAAAAGACCAGATGGGAAAGTCACATGCCAAGAGAACTCCCACACCGATCCATCAGGAACTCTTCGAATGATGGGGAAAACTTGTGGATCGTCGAGAAAACGACGGGAAACAGGAGAAAGAGTGAAAGTAACTGAATATTCTAAATCTGTGGTTCTTCAATTTTTTAAGCTGCGCCCCCTATTTAGAATTTGTCATGCCTCGCGCCCGCCTCAAAAATAACTAGCTAACAATAAGCTACAAATAACAGATAGTAAGACAAAAGTATGTTTTTTTTCAAAAAACATGTTGAAAATATGTGGATGGAATCGCAATGAAATTGTCTACGCTTTCCTTGTTGGCGCGCTCCACCGTTTGTTAATCACTATTCTATATATTCCAAGTCGTCAAACTCGATTGGCTGTGAACTCCCTCCAGGGGCGGGCCAAACTTTTTTGCTGTCCATGACGAGTTTCTGATAACGACGCCCCTTATATACCTAACTTCAAAAATAATTCGAGGAGTAAACAAATTATAGATGTTGTTATACATTAGAATGACTAGATTAAAGATAAAGTAGGAGTGAAATGTTTGAAACCCCCAGAAATGTGAGCATTTCCGTAGCTTGGAACGCTTTTTAGAAAGTCTCTTCAAAAACCAACTTTTCCCGACTCCGGCCGAACCCGCTAGCTCATGCGATCTAACTTGGAAATTAGAATTCCAGGAGCTTCAAATTTCAGCAAAAGTCGAAATCGAACTTTTGTCAACTTGAATTTGGTTTTGTGACGTAATATTACTAAATGTGAAAACATGACATCAATTCAAAGAGAAGAAGAATAGTTCTAGTGAACAAAATAGACTAGAACGTTTAATATTCTTTACTTTCACATTCATAAAAAAAAAATAAGACAACGAGTTATAATGTTAAATGATCTTTCCTTTGTCCCCAGTAATCAAAAAGAGTCAACAAGGTAGAGCGTTTTTAATCATCATTCCCCTTTCCCGGTTGCTAAAAAAATATTGAACCTCTTGAAGTATGCGCACCAAGATGTCGCACAACCTGAACCCTAACCTGGTACACAACCTTAGTTCAAGTTGTGCGACATCTTGGAGCGCATACTTCAAGAGTACTTGAGCTGAGGTTGTGTACCAGGTTAGGGTTCAGGTTGTGCGACATCTTGGTGCGCATACTTCAAGAGTACCAAAATATTTGTTTTCAGAGATCCAATCCAATTCTGAGTGACAAACACAGAGACGTACTTTTCCTTGTTGACGAGAGCGGAAGCGTAAACGAGAACAATTTTAAAAGAGAAATGAAGATGGCCAAAGCCTTAACTGAAAGTAAGACCTTTTTGAAATTTCACTCAACATCTGATACTGGTACACACCAGCGATCATACATTTATTTATATGTCAGAAAACACAATGTTTAGATTAGCATTTATGCATGAAAATCGAAAGTTCGCACAAATGTCCTGATTTCCAGTCACTTATGTATTTTTATAAATCACATCTTTATTGCTGACAATGTAGTGACCTTATTAGTGATTTTTCTCATATTTCGTAATGCTGCAGTAAAACCAGATCAGCTTATGTCACATTCAAATTTTGGGAAAATCGCCTTTTTGTAATTTTTTGATTTACACAGCTATATCTAAAATGGACATGAGGTACCACCTAATATTAAAACTAAAACATGTACAGCTTGGACCAAAAGATATCCCATAATACAAATAAACATAAAATTAAACAAAGTCCATTTTTGAAAAATGTGGCACCTCGGTTTAGCTGTGGGGATATATTTATTTTTGAACTGGCTCTCCCATTTTTTTCAGAACTCTGCGGAAGCATCGCTGTTGGCAAACACACAACAAGAGTCGGTGTTATGACATTTGATAAAAAGAATCATGTTCACCTCGACTTCGATGAACTTTTTGAGCGACACCAAGTTTTGAATCATATGAAGGATATTACGTGAGTATCACCTTAAGAAATGATCGATTTTATCTGATTTTCACGGAGTTCAGCGGATAAGACCTCAAATATGATAGAATTGCGCACTTTTGGATGCAAGCATGAAACTTGGAACACATGTAGTGTAGCATCTTCTGATTAATCTTGGATATGGTGCCATTCAAAAAAATACCCCGTTGCCATGGAAACGAGGCATTATCCGTATTGCTATCCAAGGGTAAGAATACTTTAGGAAAGAATATTTCCAAGATAAGTAAACCGATGTGTACTTAAGAAGTAAGGAATATGATAAAAAGTGCATTTTGACAATTGCCCTTGATAACAGAATACCTGGTTACCATGGGAACATCGTTATCGACCAGAAATGATTATTAGTCGTACAACCTGAACGCTAACCGGAACACAAATACTACGTTCATGTTGTGCGCTACCTTGGTGCACATACTTCTGGAGCTCACCCATCCCTACTATTTAATGGACATACTTTCTATGTACATGCATATTTTAGTTGATCAGCATGATATCCCAGCCAAACTACGCTTGGAAAAATTACCGTGTTTTCACGCATCGACTGCGCCGAATTAGCAATAAATTTCCATAATCAATTGTAAATCCTTTGTTTATTGAATAAGCAAATTGGTACTAATTTCACCTCGCTTGTTAAAAACTTGGGTTTGTTTTGGAGCAATTCCTATTGTGTTCGACACGAGCGGGAAGTATTCATGTTATTGTCATGAATCACAAATGAAGCTACATTCACTTTCAAAATTTAATTCCTTTTGGGCTCAACAACTGCCATTGCCAATGGTATATTTTCAAAATCATAGCCACATAAAGCTGGTGAAAATATAAAATAGGTATATATCTCATAACTGACGGATTATTGCTATCTTGGAGCTATCATATCGTCATCATATATATTAACAAGAGAGCTATGCTCAAATATATGGACACGTAGAGTCACATAATTTTGATGACGTCATAGCGAAAAAAAAAGTAATAGCCTTCTGGAGAAAATTTTTATCTTTAACCACTAAAAATTTCAAAGCAATTGGTCCAGTATTCGAAGAGAAAAGCGACTTTTTAAAAACGTGTCAAAGAACAAGAACAACAACAACATAATATTGAAACGATCGTTATGTCCACTACGTGTCCAATAAAGATAAATTCATTCTCATAACTCTGGCTAGGAGTATCTCAGCCAGATAATCTGTAAAAGACGGAAAACTTGCATTACATTTCAGCTCAAACTCGGCTGGAATCATTGATTCTTGTAATCTAGATCTAACGTCGCCTTATGTAATTGCTACAATAAAAAATAAAAATAAAAACGATTGAAATAATTATATTTTCCAAAAAAATATTCCACAAAGACTCCTCAATAACTAGTGAGGGCAATTTTACTATTTGGATATATACTTCGAACAAAGCACTTATAATGCATGAAATATATTGCCTAATTAAATTCGATTCTTGAAACAAACTTTTATGTACATTCTACTCTTCCATATATTGCCGTTGGCTATATGTGTCGTGTGAAAATAGTAAATATCTATATTCCCCTACTAATAATCAGAATTCAATTCACAATAAACATTAATACTACTTTCCTCTCGAAAATCGTGTGCACTAAGCTCCAACAAACCTCAGTATTTTCACTACATTTTATAAGACTGTAATTCTATTGAATACCAGGCAACATACTGTTCGTCTGTTCTATATCTGTCACAATGAATATAATCGCGGTGCTCAGGAAATGTGTTTTCGACATTGTTATTTAACGGAAATAAATTCGGCGGATCGATATAATAAATAGCGGTTCAAGACCGTAATATGTCTGGAATAATATTATGCGGACAAGGATTGATATTAGATTATGGGAATCAATTTTTATGCCTTATATCTTGACAAGTTGGTGAACCGAGATAAGAAAAGGGAAATGTTTTCTACTCGGCGTAGTTCATCTTACCCCAGCAGGTGTGGGAAATCACTTTCCTGAGGGGGTCCAGTTACAGATAATAGACTAAGGTAGTGGGCTATGAAGTGAAGTGAGCTTTATAACCGTATCTGCTGCCCTGATTTTAAGCTCTTGTGTCGAAAATTGTTGGCGAAAGTCTTATATACTTTTTTTCGAAAAAAGGTCTCGTAATGTTATATTCTTCGAACACCGAAAACCCTTCATTACAAATTAAGCGGGCAGTTGAATATTGGGGGCTCCCGAAGTATGCGAACCAAGATGGCGGACATCGGAATGTAACATGTGTACTAGGTTAGGGTTAGGCCATAATTTTAGGTATAAATACTACGGGAGGCTCTTGGCTAGTCTTCGAACTGATAATAGGACTAAAATAAGGAAAATTGGAAAAAAAATTATCGCCTAACCCTAACTTAGTACACATGTTACGTTCCGATGTCCGCCATCTTGGTTCGCATACTTCGGGAGCACCGAATATTGTCTTTAAAAAATACGTCTCTTCATTCCTTGTTAAAAAACGTCATTCGGAATCCACATTGCGTTTCCCACTCATACTGATGGATTTGTTACAGTGGCTGGCAAAATGCGGCAGCTGCAGAGAGAATGTTGGTGGAAAAATAAGTCTAAACCTAGACTAAGGTTTATATAATAAACAGCATAATGTAGCAATCGGATCATCTTGGATGAGTTTTAGGTATATGTGGCTGGTTTTCCACATTATTTACAGGTGCAGATAATACATTCTATATCGTAGCCGAACTCTCGTTAGTTTCAACGCAAATGTATATCCATAAAAACTATATTATATATATTGCAGTCGTAAATTCTACAGGCACAGGTGGGCCGGATGAAATACTTCGGCGAGCTGGTCCTGCCCGCGATCTGTATTTCGCCCACCCTGCCTTAGTGGTACTTGAATCAATCGGACTTCAATCAATTATTGGAAACGAAGAGTACATATGGATCGTTTTATTATTATTTTGTTCTTGCACCAAGGTGGCGCACAACATGAACGTAGTATTTGTGTTCCGGTTAGGGTTCAGGTTGTGCGACTAATAATCATGTTTGGTCGATACCTCGTTTCCATGGTAACCAGGTATTCTGTTATCAAGGGCAATTGTCAAAATGCGCTTCTGATCATATTCTTTACTTCTTAAATACACATGGGTTTACTTATCTTGAAAAATCCTTTCCTAAAGTAATGTTTTTTTCACTTTAATAGTTATACGGATGATGCCTCGTTTCCATGGCAACGGGGTATTTTTTTGAATGGCACAATATCCAAAGCTGATCAGTGGATGCTACTGTACATGTGTACCAAGTTTCATGCTTGCATCCAAAAGTGCAAGATTTTACCTCTTGTCCGCTGGACTAACGTATAAACCCAATGTGATGAAATCTAAAACAAACATTGAAATATAAATTTGGGTTGGATTGCGCGAGACTAACCTCCTATCTTTTCTCTATGCCTTTATGCCATTGGATCCGTATGCGTATGCTGCAAGGATGCTGTAGCAGGAATAAACATGACCATACTATGCCATTCAAGAGTCTTGCTGCACACTAAATCAAATGTATTTCTGTAACGTTTCGTCCGACCAGTGTCAGACTTCCTCAGACAAGCAGTTTACAACAATCAAGAGACTTATTATTTACAGTGTTTATGCCTTTCGCGGCCTTTATGCCTTTTTCTTTCGACTTAATTTATTTTCATTTGTGTTCACAATGTTTCCTGCATAACGAACATAAAAAATCTAATGTTTTCATTTTTTTCAGTTACAATTCGAAAACAGCCGGACGGACATGCTTAACAGACGCTCTGGATTATTCTTTAAAAAGCGTGATCGTTCCTGGACGTGGGGCAAGGAATAAGGTTCCAGGAACGGAGAGGGTCGTCGTACTTATTACTGATGGGTAAGCTGCGAAACCTTAAACGCTTTGATTTCATATTAATATTATAGAATAAGATAGGCTTTACATATTTATCTAGGGACGATAAGACGGCTAAATCATATGACGAACCACGGCCTTTCGTCCTGTTACCAGTAGGGCTGGGAATTTCAGGGAAAACACTTTAACCGTTAACCGGGTAAAATTAACCGGTTAACCGCAGCGTGACGTTCATATAATAAGTTATAATTTAGCTTGTTACGTCACAATGGTCACAAACAGAGATAAATTTGCGATGACGTAATCATTTTTGGAAGAATTGTACATTTTAAAGATGATTTGTACCTGTGATGCCAGTTAACGGTTAAAATAAAACGTAACCGTTAACCATCTAAAATCGGTTAACTGATTAACCGGTTAACCATTCCAAGCCCTAGTTACCAGTCAATGTCGGATGTGTAATTATTCAGCCAGTTATTTGTTTTCGGAAGTATGAACTTGATAGGGCGGGGATGGCGATCTTTTTCAAGGAATGGATCAAATATTATATTTTCACCCCGTAACAGAATAGAGATCCTAGTATTAATTAATATGAAATTTGCTGTTACATCACGAAGTAATACTTCTGCATTCCCTTCCCGAAAACAACAAAATTTCGTTCAAAATCCCCCAATTTCAACATAGTCTGGTTCAATCCTCAACTGACTAGACCCAGTAAGCCTGGCCAACAGTTGTACCTATCACAATGTCTCGTCTATACAATAATAACCAACGTTGGTTCTCCGAGGATTCAAACTGTGTGATTATCCTTTTTTTTAATTTGTGTATGATTATTTTTTTTTGTACCCCGCGACTTCTACTCCCAGTAAAATTGTATGATTATCTACTTTTTTAACATCGTGTATGTTTTATACTGATTGAAAAGCGGAAGTACTCCCTCTCAAAATGTGAAAAAAAGATTTTTTTGTATCATACATTACAGTTGATAAACTCGAAACGCATTTTAGACATTCAAGAGGGGTTACGGCCCTCCAAACTCTCCCTGTTTTCGAATGATAGTTAGAATAGTACTCCTGTTACCTTTTTTTTATTGTATATATATATTACTGTTTTTACTGGTTGAAAAAGAAACTTGATTTGATTTATATTCCAGGTGCGCAAATTGCAGAAACCAAAACTCGCTCCCGAATGCTTTGAATAAGATGAGAATTAAATTTGAGAAGGAAAAGATCCCGTTTATCACGTTTTTCATCGGAAGCAACACGAACTGTGTCAGAATCATGGCGGTGAGTTGATGAACGTTTTCAAACTTTGGTTTGGAGTAGCTGACATCTAGGGGCGCACCCTTTTGCGGGTCGGACTTGGACTTGCACACACACACACACATACACACACCTTCGAAATGTAAAAAAAAAGGTTTGGACCCGCTAATTGTCACGATCAGATTCAGATTCAGATTTTATTTTCGTCATGCAAAACCAATATACGATATGAAAAAATAAAAAAAGGCATATAACAAATTACGAAGACGGATATCGGCTTGTTGCAATAGACGAGGGATCGCGAAAGACTCAAAGAGTCATCCAGTCAGCGACACCTTGTAGCTGCATTGAAGCAGCAAATATAGCAACCGAACAACTCAATATTAAATAGTCACTAAATTCGACACAATCATATATATAAAAGGGACAACAAAAAAAATGCCACAATGACCACGAAAATTTACCTAAACATTCACTAAATTAGACTCACTACAATTAGAAATTTTACAACCCCCCTTTTGAAAACTCTCTTGTTGACATCCACAAGAGTAAACTGTCCTCGGGAGCCGTGTGAAGCGTGCGAAAATTCGTTATTTATGTATTATTACTAGCGGAGAGAGAAGCTGATAAGACGGCGTAATCATATGACGAACTACAGCCTTTCGTCCGGTTACTTAAGTTTAAGTTTATTTCGACTCCATAATCAGCAATAGACGATAATAATAATAGATAAAACAAAAATAAAAGTAACTGATTACAGAATCGGGAGAGCGAACAAAACCTCGACTTTCGTCCGGTTACTTGTTCAGGATTAGTTTTTGTTTGTGACTTTTTTTATTGAATTAGATCCTCAAAACATATGAATCATTTGAATTTTAAACATAGAGTTCATCACTCAGTCAGTTAGAGGAGTTGTCTCACACAATAACAAGCATGTTTCATCAATAACTCACAAGGCAGAAAAGAGTCATATGTATGCCAGAACTGCATTTTACAAATATGACGAATCCAAATTGCCGTCTGAATCAATTCGAATTATTAACTATTGAATTGGATTCGAAAGCTCGATTCAAAATGTCCAGCTCTAGATTCAGATATTTATTATTCGTTAGGCAAGAATCAATTTGAAGCAGAAGAAAAAAGCAGCAAAGCAAAAAACTAGATAACGATCGAAGACCACCGACTTCGATCTAGCGGCGTGTATCCTTCGCTCTGACTCAATAGCGACACTGCGTGTCCCATCACCGAGATATGATGTGTGATATGAGATATGATGAATGCACGTGCAAAATTTGGAGCATATTCAACCTTGCTTTCGTGATATATCGCGTAACATACGAAAGTGTCTAACAGACAAACAAACAAACGAGAATATCAGTCGGAGACCGAAGACCTATCGACCGAAAGTTAGGGGATCCCCGGAACAGAGACCGCGGTTTCGATTCATCCGCTCTTACCCCATAGTGACACCGTGTGTCCTATAATTAATACCTCGCTAATTATACGACATAATTCATCCAAAATCTATAGGCTTCTGGTCCGAAATATGATGGATGCACATGCAAAATTTGAAGCAGATTCAACCTCGCTTTCGTGAGATACCGCGTGTATCTAACAGAAAGACAAACAAACAAACAGACAAATACCTATCAACATACTCACCAATCAAGATCGATAAATAACGAGAAATATCGATTTATTGCAATTAACGTGAGATCGCGAAAGACTCAGTGAGTCATCCAGTCAGCGATATCAGATGCTGTAATATAGCAACAAATAAAGAAATGAAGCAATCTGATAAAAATAAAAACCATCTCTAAATCACACAATCATGGGAAAACAACACAGCAATAAATTTGAATTAAATTAGTCAACTGGAACATGTAACTTATTTGTAACTTCTTTTCCAGGGACTCGCTGATGGCTCCCGTTGCTACCAAGTTTTCAGAGCGATGACCTGGCAAGAATTTGACGCTATGATTGAACACATTGAGAAAAGAGATTGCATGGACGGTTGGGAGATCGGGCCTAGCTGCCCAGCTTAGCTTTTAGATGCTTCTGTCGTTTCTTTTGTTTTTGGATAATGTCTTGCAACCTTGTCATGAGGATATCATAATAAATAACAGAGAAATACAGGGTGGTCGCTAAAAAATAGAAAATTTGTCGAACGGCTATTTATTTTTACAAAAAATAACTTTTACAAGGTTAAAGGCATATGTCATATTACATCCATAGATTCTCAAAGTCCAAGTTCGTGTAGCGTTTTGAATGTTAATATCGTAAAGTTAATATGTTAATATCTGTTTTTGTAGCGAAACCCTGTAATATACGACTTTTAGATTCTTTTATGATGTTGCTACGTTTGTTTCTCAGCGACTCAAATTAACGATAACGATCAACATAAATTAGCCGTTCTTGTTTTATTTTTTTGTTCCAAGGATTGTAATCTTTATCTTTGCAGTTGTATCTTGTTGCTTCTAAAGAATTAAACCTAATGATCTAATGAAATTTCATAAATATTTCATAAACAAGAATATTTCCTATTTTTGAGGTAATTTGCAGGGAATGTGATCTTTAAACAGATGGGACGAATAACTAGAAAAGTTGAGTTTTTCAAGTAGGTTATAAAACAAGTATTCCATTCTGTGTCGCACTTTCACTTGATAATTAAATTTGCTTCGTTTCCCGAAATTTCGACGGCTGATGTGACAATTTCTTTTTACACTACTAAAGATAACACACATTGCCCACACTCAAATAAAAACAAAGAGTCGCAAGTCACTAGCACTGTCAGTGCTGGATTAACCATTAGCACGTGCTTTGGGCACCAAGGCAAAGGAGGCACCACAGAAGTTTTCATATAATTTTTTTTAATGATGCGTCAGTGTTTATTGAAAAACAGACCTCAAAATTGGCCCTGTGGCAAGTTCTCGGGTAGCCTACCAGCTTGAACGTCCCTACTATTTTTTGTAAGTATGAGAGCTGTTGTAAATTAATCGTAACTTGCCCTCCATTAGTAATGAATATCGAAACTTGCTTATTCACTTTCAGATAACATAGAACAGGTTGGTCCAAACCCAGGCCCGCGGGCCACATGTGGCACGCCGCTTCATTATCTGTGGCCCGCGCCGCATTCGAATAGTAATCAAAATATCGTATTTTAAATTGCTTCTCATCAAATAAATCAGGAGAATCGTTCGACATATTGTTGTTATATCACTACTGCGACTGAATTGACTAGCATGATACTATGATGGCTAGCTGAAGCAACTAGCGAAGTTCAATGATGTAATGGGCAGTTTAAATTGTTACTTGGATTTCTATCGTTTTGGTCGGGAATATATGCTAACAATAAAGGCATGATACAAAATTAAAAATTGAAGCGGATTCCATTAGCCTAGCTTGGCAATGCCTGTTAACTATGTGTTTACTTTACACAATAGAAGTGCTTGTTTTGTACTACACTGTTTACCTATTCTTGGTACTATTGTGGCCCGCGACCAATGCCGAAATAATTTTGTGGCCCGCGGAGCCCACAACCTTGGACCAGCGTGACATAGAAAATCAGTTTCATTATTACTTTTCATATATATAAGGCACCAAAGTCTTATAGTGCGTATGGCCTCTAAAAGACATGATCCGGCCCTTGCGTGTGTGTTGCAGATATTCTTGTTGGGGGGGGGAATCATGTCTTTTACTTGTTGGGGGGGAATATGACACATCTGTATCTTAGACCAGTAGGGTCTTGAACTTGTATTCCATCCCATAATGAAATCGGTGTTCCATATTATCTGTGTTTGCCAATCTCCTAACAATCTATAGTATGATTCAATTACAATCTCAAGACCTGCGATGCCGACAAGCTATTGAACAATACGATGGCCACCACCCAGTGACGTGTCAAACTTTCCTGCTACCCGAGGCGAGTTTCTGATAACGCTGCCTGTTATACCTAACTACACAAATGATTTTGGGAATAAACAAGTTATAGATGCTGTTAAACATGGGAATAAAAAAATTGAAGGTTAAGTGAGAGTAAAATATTGTAATATTGTTATTTAAATCATTAAACTAAGTAACAAACTTACCCTATAACGTGCTGCCCGGGGCGGCTGCCTCTTTGCCCGCCCCCTCCACCCCCCACCCCCCCTTCCAGGCACGCCACTGCTACCACATTTACTCTCCCTCTTTTCACACAAAAAAGTCACATAAAAGTCCTGAAAAATCATCTTTTACAATAACAAACATGATGGAAAAACTATGAATAAAATCGCCAACGAAAACAATGCAATGAGGGCGTGTCCCTGTAAAAGTGGGCGTGGCAGGCTCACATCACTAAACGTCAATAAAGTACATCGTTATTTATGAAAATTTTTGCTCCAAACAAGACCTCACACTAGCAGCCATTGACATATTATAGGATATATGATAAAGGACAGGGGGTACGAGATTAGTTTAGGGAAAAGCCACAATACTAGGCAAAAAACGATTTTACTTTTCACTATAAACTTCCTGTTCTTCCTGGTTTCATTGCTTGATAAGGTTATTTGACAAGGGTGTTTTCACTTTGTTGAGCATGCATTGTTTGAACATAATAGGATTTGAAAACTATGAACCAAAATATCACTATAAACACTACTGGTATGATAAACAGGGGACCATGACACCCATGAGTGCTAAAAGTTTGTTGTGTACGAGGAAAAACTAATTTTTTTGTGTGATCCAGCTAGATGTCCAGGCAAAAAAATGATTTTAGAAAACTCTGTGTTCTTCCTAGTTTCACTGCTTAGATAGGTTATTTCACAGGGTGGCCCATCAACAAAAAATGTCACGCACCCTTCATTCACTAAATTGCTTTCCCGCTAAATTTTTGTGGGCTAGCAAGACGTCTGAAGTTGGTTATGTGACCCACTGACAAATAATGTTGCTACCCGTTCTAGAATGACCAAATTCTTACTAGTTCCCCATATGACAACTCACCTCAGACTCTAATCCCCCAAAGAAAATTACACTCTAGTTTGTTCGGTGTTAAAAACACTTCCCTATATAAGGCCGATTGTGGCCAATGTTTGGATTGCAACATTAGTGACATATTAAATGTTATTTGGCTCTCGCTAACAAAAGACCATTTAAAATAAAGCTTAATGGCACTATTTGGGGGTAAATTTCACTTTTGAAATTTAAAAGAATAACGGATAAGAACCCCTGTTCTCGTAGCTACAAAGGTAGCTATTTTTTGCTGTGTGTTGTTTGTTCTATTGGTCAAAGTTTCAGTTTCTGAACATTGATGTCAATATGACCTTCAAGATTTCCATTGACCTTGAAATCCCCTTTTGTCTTATCAGCCATCTAGTGGTCAAACATTTTGGCCAAATGTTTGTATTTATTGAAATGACCTTGGAAAATGTCCTTGACCTTGTAATGACCTTCATTTGCTTTTTCTTCTCGATCTGTATTCTCTTATTTTTCCAACAAAAACAGACTCAACAATTTCCGCACACTTTGCGAGAGCAGAGTCCGCTCCGTTGAACATTCGGCAGTTATCGAAAATTAACGATATGTCCCCCATCAGCTCCGAAAGCAGCGTGTACGACGGTAGCTTGTTCATGACGGTACCAAGATCTTAAAATAAGTTTTATTTAGAAATTACAGCCAATCAGAAAGAGATATTAAAATTTAAAATTGGAGCTGGAATATTAAAAAATCATATATATGAAATTACTGTACCAGCCAGGAATGTCCAAAACCAAATACCGGATTATAGCGAATACATCCTAACAAAGTATTATCCAATCAGGAATCAGTCCAAATAAAGATAGATTTAAGATTCCTTTTATTGCTTAATGTTTAAAAATTCAGATATATGGAATTACTGTCAGGATGGCCAGAGCTGAATACTGACATTACGAATAGATTCTAAAACATTTTCTAATCGGGAATTCTAAATACATTCTAAAATCCAGCAACATAAATAATTACGCAGTTATTTAAGTTCCGATTCAATTTGGAATCTGGCACTCTGAATACAATTCGATATCAAACACACTATAAATAATTATGCGAACATGAGGTTATACATTTTTCAATCAAATCCGGACACCCCTTCGCCACAGTTTTCAATTTCAATATATATATACATTTTTTTTTTGAAGATTGCAGATGGAGTCAGAGTTGAGTCAAAGTTTTCTTACAACGAGACTTTTTTAAATAGCTTCGAGTTTGAGCTTGATAAAAAGGAGCTCCAGAAATATGTGTATCAAGATGGCACACAACCTGAACATAGTATGTATACCAGGTTAGGGTTCAGGTTGTGCGCCATCTTGGTGCACATACTTCGAGAACTCCGACAAAAATATGGGAGGTAACTTACCCATTGGTTTCTTTATTACTTTGTAATAGTTGGGGACTTCATATTTACTGACGGGTTGAAGGAACGGCCAAGCCATTTTGTGGGCCTGAAAAAGTAAGTTTATTTAAGGAAATAATATAAGTGTTGAGTTGGTTACAAGTCCTATCAGAAAAGTTCATCACTTGCAAGTTGAGCAATTGCAATTGGTTGAGTAATGAGTTAAAAAATAAAAACATTGCAAAATTTCCTGTGAAGTAGTCCCAAAACCCTGAATTGAAACTCAATTTGAGTCACGGTTAATCAGAGTGCAGAGTAGAGTCAATCATTAAGTTTCCAAGTGTTTTAGGTAATGATGAGTCCAAGTCATACCATTTAGATCAGGGTTGTGCAACCCTTAATACAGGGTCAGATTAGAGGCAAGATCGGGCCCAAAAATTCCAGCCCAGCCCGACCCAGGCCCTTGGGTAGTAAACTCGACTAATTAACTGGATTTGCAGGCCCGAGCCCGAAGCAAACCCGAAATTTCATATTTTATTCAGTTGTTATTTGAATTCCACACATAGTTTTAGTATATAGTTTTGTATAAACATATATTAATTAAAAAAAGTCAGCGATAGAGAAGCCCGAATTTCGGGTTTCAAGGGCTTCAGATCCTAGCTCTTAGGTCAAATACCTCTGTGAAATCGTGGGCCGCACCTTTGTTTAGGTTTTCTAAAGTTGCGGGCACAAACATTTTGATTATTCATCTTGTGAAATCATCCCATAAAAAATTCTTTTAACTTGATTGATTCTAAATATTCAGCAGTTGAATATGGAAGAGGTCACCAGAAGGCCATATGTTTAAGTATTTAACTCTTGTAATATTTATCAAATACTGGATCTGACACACTTACCCTTAGTGATCTAATAATCTTCGTTAAAGCAATATGGTCCGAAGGTGTGAGTAAATTTTCTGCAACGGCTGAGCTGGCACCCTTCTTCTTGTTTTTACACCGAGGGCAAGTGTAGAACTCTATCTTATCTGCGTCCTTTTCAGAGATTCCGACGCAATCACCATGATACCAGTCTTGGCAGATGTCACAACCAATGTAAAACCTGAAATATGCCGCAACCAGTTAGATGCCATGACCATTCTGTATGTAAAGCTTTCCATTGAATGCCATGTAAAGCATCAAAGCGGTACTGTGGCAGCAGAGCAGTGCCACTCACATGAGAGTATTCATGTAACTCCTACAAGATAACTGACAAGGCATCAAAGTAGTGCCGTGGTAGTATGAGAACGCCAGTAACTAAGAACCACTTTTCAACTTCAATATTATTTGATGCCATATAAGGCATCAAAACGATGTCATGGCAGAAAAAAAATGCCACTCACATAGAATCATCATACCATTCTATGAACAGACTTTTCAACAAATTAACATCAAAGGCATCAAAGCAATGCCTCGGCAGCAAAGTAATGCCACTTACATAGAATCATCATACGGTGTCCTACATATACAATACAGCTCTTGTGCAGGTTCTTCCTTTGCTTTCTGACATTCCTCACATATCCACTCGTTCATTGACTTAGCTCGTGTCTCAGGGATGCCAACGCACGTACCATGGAACCAGTTAAGACACAGATCACAGCCGATGTAGAATCTGAAAAAAGTAAACGATAGGTTGAATGTGGCACAGTCTAGCGAGCCAGGTCTTGTTCCCTCGACCAAAAATGGAAAGAGTACTGATAGAAGAGGTGCAGGGTTTGCTCAGAGCAAGGTGTCGTGCCCTCAACTAAAAGTGGAAAGAGTACTGATAGAAGAGGTGCAAGTTTGCTCAGAGCAAAGTCATAGGCCCTCAACTAAAAGTGGAAAGAGTACTGATAGAAGAGGTGCAAGTTTGCTCAGAGCAAAGTCATAGGCCCTCAACTAAAAGTGGAAAGAGTGCAGATAGAAGAGGTGCAGGGTTTGCTCAGAGCAAGGTGTCGTGCCCTCAACTAAAAGTGGAAAGAGTACTGATAGAAGAGTTGCAAGTTTGCTCAAAGCAAGGTGCCGTGCCCTCAACTAAAAGTGGAAAGTGCACTTCACAGATTTGGGTAGGAATAAAACAAACAATAACACACTTACTTTGTAGGATCATACTGCGTCTTACATATGCAGTATAGCTTTGTATCTTTCTTCTTAGATTGCGTGTTTATCATTTTCGTTTTTTTTGGTTCGGGAGGCGGGGACATAGTTTCGCGACGCTTCTTTATGATTGGTTGTTGATTTCCTTTGCCTTCTTTGATTGGTCGCTTTGAATTGTTCTCTGTCAAGACAGCACTTGTTACGATAGCATTTCCTGATGTTTTCTTTGGTCGTTTAGAAACTGGTGCCCCTGTTGATTCGGTCACATTTCTGCGGTGTTTGCGTAAATCCTCACGAAGCTCGTTCTGATGAAATAGAAGAAAATAAATAAAAAATTTAGGTTCAGAGCTTAATTTTAGTTTAATCTGTGCTTCACTTGCTAAAAATGACATAGGAATAGACATATGCAGGGGCGTAACCAGAAATTTTCAAAGGGGGGGGGGTTGACATTTTTTTTGCCAAGTTAGATCGAAACAGCTAGCGGAGTTCGATCGAACGCTGGAATACGCATGTTTTTAGTAGTCTTAGGGGTCTAAAAAGTCTTTTAAGCTACAGAAAATTGCTATCTATGATACACAAAAATGATTTTATTTTTTTTACATTTCAAAAGGAGGAGGGGGGGGGGGGGGGTCGACACGCAAAACCACCCCCCTGGCTACGCCACTGGACATATGGTCCCAATTGCCAGTTGAATGACCTTCTCTGCAGAGAGCTTTTTGGCTGCCATATAGACAGCAGGCTAGGAATAGGGTTAGATACATGGTCCCAACCGTCATTCGAATGCTTTCTCTGTAGAATGCTATTGGTATGCGGATAAATTAGGTATTGATATATGGTCATTCGAAATTTTAATGGCTCTCTTTGTGGAGGTCTATTAGGTTAACATGTAGACAGCAGTTAGAAATAGAGGGCTTTATGCTTTATTTCCTGCACTCAAACCAGTACCGGTTGTCTTATAGCCCGATGTATAGATATCAAACCCAATTTAATCAATTTCATTTCAGATCGCCTTATACCCGATGCGCCTTATGCTCCATTAAATACGTTGCTTAGTATAGACCAGGGGTGGGCAACCTTTTCCGGCTCGCGTGCCAAAATCGACTAAATTTAATGAAAAAATTCTTCCGCGTGCCGACCAAAATTGTCGAGAGCTCACTCAGTTGTGATGTCATAATATATTTCTTTGAAGTCATATGTCATGAAAAAACAAAAAGAGTTTAAATAAATAACGGATTGCTAACAATAAATAATGATTAAACGTACGCAGAGTTTCAACAGATAATTCAGAGTCTTGAAACCTTTTTTTTCTTGAAAAAAAAAAAAACGATTCCGTTTCTGAAGCCTCGCTCGCGTGCCGAATAAATGGGCTTGCGTGCCAAGTACGGCACGCGTGCCAGGGGTTGCCCACCTCTGGTATAGAAATATGTAAATGCATGCTGTTAATTGAATATTTCAGTCTATGAGCATAAATGCATTGCCAAGCAAAGAGCACTGTTTTGTAAAAACTTTGTGGACCAACACACGTACCTTAGCAGCATGTGTTAAGTATTTCTCAACGACTGCTCTTCTCTTGAGAATATCTTGCTTGAGATGATCTCGATGTTTGTGAAGAATCTGGGTTTGACGGTTGTGGACTTTCATCTGCGGAATTAAAGAAAATTATTTTTAGAAATAATGGTTGATAATGTGTGTAATAGATGTTGCTCCAATTGAAGTAAGTAAGCGTCCAAAGCACCAGTTTTCAACCAGTGGGTCATGGCCACAGCAACATGCTCAGGTGGCCACAAAACTATCAAAAACTTATAGCTTTATTGATAAATCAGTTTTACTGTGATTGTAGTGACAATGAATGATGATGCTGTTTTTACTTCTGAGGTGCAATTCTCATTTCAATTAATAAAGTAAAAGTGTCATTTTTCATGGAGATAGTTATTTCCTTTTTGGTAGTTCATCAATTGCGTAAAAAAGTTACGGGGCCAAGAAAGTAAAAAGGTTGATAACCACTGGCCTTCAGCGTTTCCCAACCAAGAAGCCGAAATATTGTTGTTTTCAGGAGGGGAAATTTAGTTCCTATTATATTGTTCAGGTATATTGTATTATAGTAATACGTCTTTATAAAGCTTTCTGACTGCACTCAAAATACATAGTAACAGAGGAATAAAGACCTCCCAAATTGGCAGCAGAAGACTATACAAAAAAGGTGGGGAATGACTGGCCTCGTGGATTGAGTGATAAGCTTCACTATGTTGGCATCTCGGGTTCAAATCGCTTTCTTCTTCCCCCAAATGACCGAAAGAAAGCAAATTTTGTAAATTTTGTGATTCCTACCTGTTCTGTTTGTTCTTTTCTTTCCTTCTGTTTCAGTAAAGCTTCCTCCCTTTTCCTTTTCCTGTTTTCCAGTTCTTCCTTTCTTTCTATTCTGTCCAGGATTGATTTCATCACTTGCATCACAACAGTTTGCCTGAAAAGATGAAAAAAAATTAATGGGGGGAATGGGGGGTGGAATTTAAAAAAAATGACACAAGAGTATACCCAGATGATACAGAGCCAAAAAAAAATAAAAAAAAATAGTGAGGGGGTTGGGGTGGAATTGGAAAAAAATTACACAAGTTGATACAAGTATCTTAACTATATGTGAACATACACTGTTTGGCAAAATACAATGGCGCGCTTGAGATCCAGGGAGGGATAAAATTTTAAGGGGGAGTTGAATAAATAAGATGAGAATATACTGAGACGCTACTAGAACATTCACTTTATGTAGACGCTATCTGCCTTTAGGAACTGCGGAATTTGAGGGGTGAAAAAGTTGAAATTCATGCTTTATCAGGAAAAATCTGAGGCTCAGCGCTTGTTGTGCACCATCAACCATCACAACGTCAAAAATAAAATAAATTAAAAATTGAGTAAGGACCGAAATTAACTAATTCTGTGTCTTGTGAATCAGTGGTTTACAAGCTTTTGAAGTCGTGCTCCCTTTTAGAACTTGTCAGATAGTGAGGGAAAAACATAGAATACATGGATGGAATCGCAATCTCTAAACAATGAAACTAGAATATCGGTTAGAAACCGAAGACTTATCGATCGGAGGTTAGGGGTTCCCCCAAAACAGTGGTCTTACTCCATAGTGACACCGTGTGTCCCATCACTAATTAATTAATAACTCCGCTAATTATGAGACATAATCCATCCAAAATCAATAGGCTTCTGATCCGAGATATGCTGAATGCACATGCAAAATTTGGAGCAGATTTAACCTCGCTTCCGTGAGATATCGCGTGCATCTAACACACAGACAAACATACACACAGACAGACAAATACCTATCAACATAATTAAAAGTAAAAAGTTAATCTAACAAATATATATTTTTAATTAGCTTAAAAAATTGTCCTTCTGTGGCGCACTCTATCGTTTGAGAACCACTCTTGTGAATAGTAGCCCAAGCAAAACCACACTCACCTCATTCCTTCTTCTTTTCTGATTCTACTGAGAGGTTTCGGCCTCGGTCGCTCCAAATTGTCATGACGATGTTGATGGTGGGAGGAGATTGTTGGAGTCCGCTCCGCAGATTGAGGCCTGTTGTAAAAAAACAATTTTAGTTAGTACAGCTCTGTTGCCATTTATGAACTAAATTTAGCGTACCAGTGGTCACCCTGAACTCAAAAACCAACTCATTTTATAGATAACATTTAGCTAGAATGCCCGTTCCATGTTTCACATGTATTTTGATGACACGTGTCTGTTACGTCCAATATCATACTAAAATATTTCACAAAGTTTGTACATCATTCAGGACTCTGCTAACTTAGCCTTAAACTATTCATGTTCACTAAAACAAACATTTGCTCGGTGAAAAATTTTCTTAGAGGAAACACTACTAGGGATTTTCGATTTTCACAAGCTTATATTAAAAACCGTGTCTGGAAAATTTGCAGCAAGAGCATTTTGCAAGTATTTGTGACAAAAACAGTTGGATTTATAGGGTTAGGGTATGCTCTTAAATAACAAATATTTTTTAAATAAAGATGTACTTCAAAAACCTAACTGTTTAATCACAAATACTTGTTTTACAGTAAAATGCTCTTGTGACGATTTTTCCTAGAACTATTAAAAACATCATTTTTCCATACTTGCTTCCCCATAATGGGTCTTTATCTGTCATCAATCGTTTCATTTCCGTATTTTTGTTCCTCCCTGGCATGAATTGATGTTTTTGGATTTGTTGAAGTCGTTGTGATAATGAGGCTGATTTGAGACTAACTTCATTGACAGGAGGTGATACTGGAGCTGAAATAGAAAAAATGTTGGTTATGACTATAAATCTAAACAGGATTTAGAAAAATAAATTTTTAGTTATCATTGGAAAAAAGAATTTTAATTAGGTAAGAAATAGCTATGTATACTTTAGCTATTTGTAGTTGTAGTTAATTTCTGGCGGAAACAACAATAATTTAATTTTTAGGACTAGTGAAAAAGATGTGGGAAAATTAATGGAATATGAAGGAATCTTATCTCCTAGTGGTAAATTATGGCAGATTGACCTGTTTTTCAATTACTAATGAGTTATGTAATATTCAATACCCAATATGGAATTTCTCTTTTGTCTTGCCTAATTCATAGCCAATGCCGATTTGAAAATATATATAGTGACAGGAATATGGTCACACGACTAGATATCCCCACGACATCGAAGAGGTATCGAAACAATACTGAATGTGTCAGGCATTAATATAAATGAAATTTGATTTGATGTTTTAAAAGATTGCTAATTAGACAAATGTGCACACTATAAAAATATTCACAAAATTTAATACATTTTTGGCGTATTCTAATCTTAGTCATATTGACTTGAATTGATTAGAGGTGTCAATCGGAATATACTGCCATGCGACGGACATAAGTTCCCTTCACTTCTGAGCGATTCCAAGCAGCTCTGGACACTTCAGTGGTTATTGCGACTTTGCTCAGAGATGAGTTTACTTTACTCCCGAGATTTTGGCATTTCTGTAGCCTGAATTCCAATAACTTTGCTCAGTGATGAGCACTTTACCTTGAGCGATTACACATGGATTACACAGCAAATTCTCTAAAAAATAAAAGAAACACTCACTAGGTGGTGGTATAGTCTCAGAAATCAGCGTAAACAAGAACTTCTTGACCTCCCCGCCAACTCTAGTCTGCATCAGCTGTTGTCCTGATGAAGGGGTGACTTGGGATCCTGGAGGGATGAGCTGGATTTGCCCAATACCTGAAATACAAACAAGAAATTTCTTTTAAAAAACAATTTTTATCCTACTATTTCACTCTCGACAAGGCAATGTACAAAGGGTTTCTGAAGTCTTTGTACAGAGCTGCTGTGTTTGAAAGGACTGGACTTCTTTCTGTCCAGCAATTCATTAATTTTGTTTAGTATCAGTGTTTGTCTGAATATCTATAATTTTTACTGTCTGGCCTAATGTCTTTTATAAGAATAAGAATCGGAATTCACGCAAGATTCGAGGTTTCAATGTTCTGTGGCTCTGGAGCAGAAGTCATTGCAATTTTAATAAACCAGCCCCCAGCCTACTGCTCTAACTGGTTTATCGATTCTCGCTTCACACTGAAATTCACATTTTTTATCTTTTCTCATTCTGTATGTGCAATGTGTACTCAGCATATGTAAATATAAACTACTGACTGGCTGTTCAGGGTATACAACTTGGGGTAAATGATTTGAGTAAGAATTTGAAGTGAGATCCATACCAATTTTCTCAACCAATGCGCCTTGACCCAAAACTGTGTCGCCTACAAATTTTCTTGTGTCGATTAATTTTTCAACAAATACTTGGATGCTACTGTTAATTTCTAGAAATTTTATTGTTTATTATATATTTATATTGAAGTGTTGCTAATACAATAGTAATTGTATAAATGGTAATTATTACAGCGTAAAAAGCATTTATTTTGTTTTGCTCAAGTAAAGCCACAATTTCAAAACCTCGCTGGGGGCTTTCCCACATTGACTTATTTTAGTCATTCAATTTTGCAGCCATAAAAGTACTGTATGCTATTTAGTATTCGAGCATATCTTTTGGTCGCCAGATTTTACAAAATTTATTTATTAGAAAACATGAGACAAATGGGACACAACATTTTTGAGACACCCCTCAATGAATACTCGAAAAGACAAAAAATGAAAACCTACCAGTTCTCCCATTCCCAAGGGTAACAGACACACGAACGGGGGTTGCAGCCCCAACTTTCATCAACTGAGAGAGCTGTGATGTGGTTAGTTTGATCTGTGTTTGTTGACTCGGGGCTGGGGGCCTCGGTGCGATCGTTGCAGGGCTGGGTAACATTGGGGACTGTTGGTTGAATTTGATCGCATGGGAGCCATCACTTAATCTGAAATTTAGAATTTTAAAATTAGGAAAAAAAATAAGTTTTTAAAAGAACATCTCCAAAGCTGGGGGGGAGCATGCGGGGTTGCTAAGATGGAAAATTCTTGCTTAGTTTGCTTGCTTCTGTGGTTTTACCCACAATGCCGGGTGCTCCAGAATTGTGTGTACCAATATGGAGGTAATGGCCTATTTTACATCAAGTTGTGTAAAGGGACTGAAACCTATGTGCAGGGGTATATTCACTTGTCTAACAGAGGCAGTCCCCAAACTGGTAATAGAACTAAAATAAGGAAAATCGGAATAAAATCATGGCCTAACCCTAACCTAACCAGAAATGTCGGTTTTTGCTCAAGCCCTTCTCTTAATTCTAACAAGAATATACCAATATATTTTACCTTATTGAAGGATGTTGAGACCTTGGCTGAATAGGAGATACAATTGCGGGTGAACCTGAAAGAAAGAAAAACGCTCACAAAATCATATTGTCGATAAATTTACAACGTGTCTATATTGTTTTATTGATACTGTATAACAGAGGTGTCAAACTCATTTGTTTATTTACTGATCTATACAGAGACCATATCGCGCTTATTTCTAAGATTTGTGCTTATTTACTAGCTTGCGTTTTATAAAATGCATGCTTGTTTCTAAGAAAAGTGCTTATTTTTTGAGTTGTGTGCATATTTTGTCTGAGAAACATGGATGACTCGTTTATGTTTTGTGTATAAATCTTCCGTGAAAGATAAGGTGTTTATCATTATACGCAACACGTATTTGCGCTTCGCTGCGTTATTATTGTGACGTATCAATCATCCACGTTCCATCGTGATCATGATTGAACTATGCCGCTGCCTCATGTCTCGGATATGCTGACTCTAAGCACGAACTATTTCTGTTAATGTTGGGGTTTGCCGTATTTCCAGGCAAACTGTTACATAGTTGAAGTAAATGCTGCTAGTTTCAGCGATTATGTTCTTAGGGACAAACCACAATTTAGACATTGAGTAAGCGTAAGCATGATTCAATCATTCAAGCAATCATCAGAAGCAAGGACAAGCAGATACAAAATCAAAGAAGCGTAAAACAATAACAATGAAAAGTTAACAGGCAGTGTTGCCAGAAATTGACAATACGAAATAGTACAAATAATACATTATCAACAGTCAGAGAGGTCAAAACCATCCCTTTTGAAATGTATCATACATGGGTCTTCCACAGATTAGAGCGCTTTTCAGACCCTCAAGACTTGTTGAAACCCCACGATTTCTTATCTATGGCCGAACCCGCCAGCTGATGCGGTCCAAATTGGAAATCAGAAATTTTATAACCCCCCCCCCCCATCGTTTTGAAAATCTTTGACTATGCCCCTGCCCAGTAGCACTGTTCTGCAGAACCCCAACTCAACTTACTTGCTTTAATCATGATAGGTTTGACCAATTTTCCTCCCTGCACAATGTAATGAGTTCCAGACGGAGTCGAACGAACAATAGTCTGCTGAGATGAAACGTTTGAGCCTGAGAAAAAGAAGCATGTCAAATATTATACAAAATATTTTTCAAAATTATCCTGTGGGAGAGGACAGGACAGCCTGATCATATGGTCAACCAAGAACTCTATAATAAATCAAAAAACACGGATTCGATTATTATAGAGAAGAGAGAAAAGTGATAAGATGGCTTAAACATGCTCAACCACATGCTTACATACTATCCAGCGAGCTAACATGTACGAAGCAATAAGTCAAAGAATTTTGTCTGAAATCCTGACATGCCACAAATTGATAAACCTATGCTGAACCATTCTCATTTATATACCATATTCCTTAATGTATTAAAGCCTAATTCTCTGAGAAAAATATAACACACTTACCACCGATTTGCTTGTATGGTGTGAATTGGGCAGTTCCAGGATGCACGACAATCTTTGAGACTGAAATAAAAATATTTCTCATTAATCCTGCAATGTAACAATAAGAAAGTTCTTAACCGAATATTCTAATCTATTTACAATTTAATTTTAATCATACTGAAGTCAGACGAATTTTATCAGGCACATATTTCTCGATCAAAAGCTAGAATAATTAGGTATTTTTTAAGCTAAGGTTGGTCATAAAATCTTGAAATTTTTTTAAATTGCAGAAGGAATTTATCGATATTGTTTTCGCTCTCACAGATGTATCAAATGAAGTGAAAATACCTAAACAATTACTGATTAAAAAACAACAAACTTGGTTAAAATATGGAGAACTGACTTCATAACAAAATTTGAATTGTAAAAGCGTTAATTTGAAATATCGCTAGCTTAGCAGACAGAAAAAAATGCTCCAATTATTTTATGATAATTTTAGATAAGTAACAAAGCAATACGATAGTTTTTCAATCCTTCTTAATATTTGTATGTCACAAATTGGTGCTCCCGAAGTATGCGAACCAAGATGGCGGACATCAGAACGTAACATGGGTAACAGGTTAGGGTTAGATGATAATGTTTTTTCAATTTTCTTTATTTTAGTCCTATTATCAGTTCGAAGACTAGCCAAGAGCCTCCCGTAGTATTTACACCTAAAATTATGGCCTAACCCTAACCTAGTACACATAGTACATTCCGATGTCCGCCATCTTGGTTCGCATACTTCGGGAGCCCCCACAAATTAGTTCATAAAATATCAAGAAACTTCACCTGGGGATTTCCCAATCAATGTCTTCCCACTGTTTAAAGATTTCTGTAATATTTGAGCGTTCTGAAAAAGAATCGGAAATAAGCATCAAGTAAGGCATTTGAATCAGAGTCCAAATAATAAAGGTTGTTAAACGACACTAATTTGGGTGAATTGATAAATGCAAGCACAAAATAATAGAAATAGTCGAAATGTCAAAAATGAATCAAATATTCAAAAGCATTAGAATTTATTATATTCAATGTAAAAAAAATTTAATTTGAGAATAATTTAGAATGTTTTTATTGGAAAGCTAGGGATTTTGAGCTGTCAGACACGTTGATAAAAACATACAATATCTAAATTGATAACAAACAACACAGAGAAACCAATGAACTTTATATTTATCTCGTTTTTAATGTGAGCAATGTGAAGATATAGTAATTTATGTAATTTTACGCATGAATGTCCCCGCAATTCAGCATGCATTCGATATTTCACAAATACCTTCTCAGAATGTATTCGAAAGAGTAAAATAATCCAAAATTCACAAAACCTATTAAAATGCACAACTATTTCCAGATCTTGTTTTAAGTGAGAGTACAAAAGCCCATAATAATATAAATAAAAATACGAAAATTTCATTTAATACCTGATGAAGAGGCAATTTCACGATATTGAACCCAGGTCCAGATGTAGACAGATCACTTCTTGAAGGTTTAAGGTTTTGTAACGTTGGTAGAATTCCACCGGAGGGCGTTGTGATAAACGTATTCACTTCTGATTGCAGAAACGTCGCAGATGGTGTTGTTGTAACTGAAGGCCGAGTACGATTTTGCTGTTGTTTCAACCTTGTAGGATAAAATAGATATATATTTATCCAGAGGGAGAGGAAAGCCGATAAAATGGCTTGATTATATGGCAAACCATGGCTTCTCGTTCGATTACCAGTCTAATTCGGGTATGGGAATAGTTGGCCAGTTATTTTTTTCAGAAACATGGATTTGATGGTGGAGGAAGCCGTAACTGGCCAGCGCTTACGTGAACCACCCAACAGCGGCGAAGAGTCCAGCAATCTTCTCGCACATAACTATCCCTGCATGGGATTCCAACCTACAAGCCCACGCAGGGTAATCAGAGATGCGGTGACGAGCGTATTCCTAACGCTTAGCACGATGCGCCACACCGCCGAGGGAAAAAAAATGACAGAATAATTTTAAATTTCTAAAGCTTATACAGAGTGAGGCAAGAAAACTTCCCAAATTTTAAATTCTTCCTGAATTAATTAATGAAATACAGGAGGTTTAATTGCTCAATCCAATTTCTTGGCAAAGGCACGTTACTGCCAAAATGCAATCAAACTGACAGTTCTGATACAAGCTACCAAGACCTTGCTATATAGCAAAGGCATGGCACAAATGACACACCACAACCAAAGTTAGATGCCATAGCCAGAACTTATCTGCCATGACTAAACTCCCAAACATAAAAAAAAAATTCACAACAAAGGCATGTCATTCACAGCCATGCCACAGCTGGTATAAGATGCCACAGCCACTACTTACAAGATATCAAACTGTCTTATCTGCCACAGTTCCACTTCTTCCTCAGGCACCCACAACATTTGAACTTGGGGTCCAGTTTCTTTCTTATTTTCTCGTGCTGTGAACGAGCGCCTACTAGACCGAAGACCTTTACGAGATGGAGTGTAGCCTTCCGCAGCTGAGTATGGAAGAAAAATAATTGGATTTTAGGTACAATCTAGCTCCAATAAAGTTCTATAGACGTTACAGAATCTGAAATCAGAAGTGATCTGACTACGGCTGGTAATGGGTTTAATACCTAATATACACCAGGTATTGAATAGTATTATTGGATTTTTTTTATTAACAAGGGCTTCCATGTTTTCACTCTGATTAGTGAGTCACTGATAAACGTTTTTGATACATGGACTTGGTTATGGTTAGGAATATTGAGTCGAAAAAATTTACTATGATTCCAATCTATGTGACAAAAACCACTCCGGTTCAGAATTCACAATAAAGGAACTTTTGGTTCCTACACAGATTCCCAACTCAAATGAAAAAGACATGTTGACTATGAAGACGTGGTCATGTGTAAGCTTATTCTTTATGAAAGGATGATAGACTTACGTTTAATAGCTTTGAGAGCCTCTTCTTCTGGGTCAGTTATCGGCATGGTTATGCGACGAACGTAATATTCCGAATGCAGTCCAGTCGATAAATTGTCTTTACGCTTGAGTAGTTCTGTTGTTATTATTTCATCATCAGTTGTTACGGAATTGACGACATCACTGCGAAAAAATTCAGTGTGCACTTTGATAAAATATCAAAAGGACAAATGATATATCGTAGAAAATCAACTTCAGTTACAGAATGTTAGGGAAAATGCTCGAAGAAACAGCTATGTAATCCAAGAAAACTACATAATCTGTCCAAATTTAAAAAATATGATATTTCATGCTCTGCTGAACCATTCGCCATAAAACTTTACATATTTATCATGGGGGTGGAAAGCCGATAAGACGGCTTAATCATATGATGAACTGCGGCCTCTCGTCCGCTAACCATTCCATGTCGGGTATGGGATTAGTTAGCCAGTTATTTGTTTCAGATGCATGAACTTGATGGTGGAGAAAAGTCGTAATAAGCCATTGGTAATGTGAACCACCCTACAACAACCCCGCATGGAATTCAAACCTGCAAAACCATGGCTTAATCATATGGCGAACCTCGGCCTCTTGTCCGGTTACCATTCCATTGTCGGGTATGGGATTAGTTAGCCAGTTATTTGTTTCAGATGCATGAACTTGATGGTGGAGAAAGGCGTAACCGACCAGAGGTTACGTGAACCACCCTAAGTGTTCAGCAATCCTCTCGCACATAACTATCCCCGCATGGGATCGAGCCTGCGAACCCATGGAGGTTGATAAGAGTATTCCTAACGCTTAGCGATGCGCCACACCGTTACTTGATAAAAATAATGAAGCACTATGTAAACTTACTCATTCTGAGGCCTCATAGTCATCCTATCCCACTTAATCGCGTGCCAGAATATTCTGATAAGATGAGCGACTGCACCAAATGTGTTGACGTTCTGAAGTTTGTATCTCCATGTTAGACTGAATGTCGGCCGAGGACAAGGGTAGAACCAGTATTGCTCTGAAACATAGAATTTAAAAATTAAGTTTAAAAAATCAAAGTTTTTTTCAAAAAATAGGCAATTCAGGATGTAATGCTTTGTTCATAGAGGACATGTGAAAGCACTGTAAATTGAGAAAAAAATCCCAGAAAAGGGAATTTACTAAATAACAAGAGAACTATGCTCAAATGTATGGCCATATAGTGCTCATATGCATTCGCAGAACTGCCACATGGTGGCAAATTTTGATGATGTCATAGAACACAAATAAACAAATCCCCTACATCTCACCGAAATATTTGAAATAAATGAAAGTAATAGCCTTCTAGCGAAAAATTTAATCTTTAAGCACTGAAAATTTCAAAGCAATTGGTCCAGTAATCAAAGAGAAAAGCGATTTTTTTCTGTGACTAAGAACAACAAGAACAACAACAACATAATAACGAAACGATCCATACATATCAATCATAAATGCCGACTTACCAAGACCTGAAAACCATTTTGCACCGAACGTAAATCCACGTCTGTAAGCCCACTGACCTCCGCTGATTGCTAACTTTCGAGTGACAGATGCTGGTAGCCTGAAATGTAGAATCGTTTTTAAAATAAGATAGATTTACTATGTTTCTTTGATAGGTTAAAGGGGAGGGGATCTGGAATTTCTAATTGCCAAGTTAGACTGTCACAGCTAGCGGATTCAGCCTAAGGTAAAAAAATGTGTGTTTTCCAAGACCTCAAGACTTTTGAAACCCACATCTCCCGGCCGAATCAGCTATTATATAACAAATACAAATTTTCAAATTATATCATTCCAAATTACACCTAAAATAGTATGAATAACATGTATTTGAATATTTGGTTCATTTTGAAATTCCCTGGAGAGCCTGTGATGTATCGAATACTTGAATATACTTTGAGTTCTTAATTTTCGGAATAATTATTAGAAAAAAATCCGAACAAAATACCTGAAAATACTTTTCTTTCTCAATTTCCCAGATGTAAATTTCCATGGCAACGGGAGCTGAAAATGAGAAAAAATTATTAATAAAAAAACTAGAATTCGGTTGGAAACCGAAGACTTATCGATCGAAAGTTAGGGGATCCCCCAAAACAGCACTTTACTCCATAGTGACACCGTGTGTTCCATCACTAATTAATTAATAACTCGCTAATTATACGACATAATTCATTTAAAATCAATAGGCTTCTGATCCGAGCTAAGATGAATGCACATGCAAAATTTGGAGCAGATTCAACCTCGCTTTTGTGAGATATCGCGTGCATCTAACACACAGACAGACAAATATCTATCAACATACTTACCGATCAAGATCGATAAGTAAAATCTTAACATCGCTATTACAAATATTTTCTCACATCCCGATAAGAAAAATATTGAGCATTTGTTTGTTCGTTTAATGAAATAAACTAGATAACAATCGGAGACCGCCGACTTATCGATCTGCGGTTTCGATTTCTTCGCTCTGACTCAATAGCGACACCACACGTGTTCCATCACTAATTAATCAATAAATCGCTATTAATATGACATAATTTATCCAAAATCAATAGGCTTCTGGTCCGAAATATGATGAATGCACATGCAAAATTTGGAGCAGATTCAACCTCGCTTTCGTGAGATATCGCGTAACATACGAAAGTGAAACAAACAAACAAACAGACAAATACTTATCAACATACTTACTGATCGAGATCGATAAGTAATAAAGCTCCAGATAAGAGGCATTTTGTATGTAATGCAGGCTATTATTGGAAAAGCGAGTTCACAGTTCATTGGAAACAGCTAACAGCTTGGATTAGCATGTTGTTGAATAGAACAGGGGCGTGCAACCTGCGACCCAAATACTGCCCAAAAGGAACAATTGTATTGCCCTCTTAATTTCAAATGGTGTGCCACCCGCAAAACAAGTTTTCACTTGGTTTAATCTGAGTTTTTTGGTTCGGTTTGGTTTTTGGTTCATACTTAGTTTTTGGTGCTCCCGAAGTATGCGAACCAAGATGGCGGACATCGGAATGTAATATGTGTACTAGGTTAGGGTTCGGCCATAATTTTAGGTATAAATACTACGGGAGGCTCTTGGCTAGTCTTCGAACTGATAATAGGACTAAAATGAGGAAAATTGGGAAAAAATTATCGCCTAACCCTAACCTGTTACCCATGTTACGTTCCGATGTCCGCCATCTTAGTTCGCATACTTCGGGAGCACCGAGTTTTTTTTCCTACAACTACTAGCCTATGTTAAATGAAGGTGTGGTCCTAGGTTTCACTCACTTCTTTGTGTTTGGTCCAGAACTAAATATTTGTTCTGTGCAAAGGTGTGAAAATATGAAGCTAAGTTATATTAAAAAATTAATATAAGTTTATTAAAAGTTGTACCTTCATAGCACTTTCTTTTTTCAGTGTGGACGATGTTTTTCGGTATCGTTGCAATTTCCAAACAATTTGTGTTGATGACAGGACGCCGTTATTATTTTGACGTCTCACTCGTCTTTGCCGTGACATTCGTGACATCAAAACTTTTGATTTATGGACGTTGGTGACCATTAAGGCTGCCTTGATTCCTGACTTTGTGGTAATTCGTGGCAGAGAGATAATGGGTTCTTTGACATTTGGTGAGGCACTTCGGGATGATTGTGGCGTGGATTCACTTTTTGTGGCATCTTGTACTGATTGTGGTGTGGAATCACTTGCAATACTTTCATTTTTCATGGTATCTTGTACCTGCTGTGATGGCAAGGTTTCATAGGCACTTATTTCACTTTTTGCGGCATCTTGTACTGATTTTGACATGACTCCAATGGCACCGCTTCCTGTGGCATCTTGTATGGATTGTGACATGACTTCAATGGCCCTGCTTTCACTTTTTGTGGCATCTTGTACAAATTGTGGCGTGACTTCAGTTTCACTATTTTTGGCAACTTCTATTGAATTGGTACCATCTTCAACAGAGGGATTGGCATCATTGTTAGTGACATCATTTGCTTTTTGTGGCATAACTCCAATGCCACTATCTTTATCATCCTTCAGTTCAGGTTTAGTGAGGAGAGCACCAGTTGAGCCGATTACAGATGTACTGCTAATTGGTTCCTGAGTGTTGGTACTTATAATGGTTTTACTGAGGGTGGTAGTTTTGGTTACGGTCGTGGTTATGGTCTCGATAACTGTTACTTTCTGGTCTTCGCTGACCATATTGGTCTGAGTGGTCTCAACGATACTATCGACAGATTCAGTGGTGTCTTCTGTAGTTATGGTGTCTGCGCTGATACCATTGGTCGTGGCATCAAATGAATTGGTAATGGCATCTGGTTTGGTAAGGGGGTCATCAGTAGAAATTATAGTCTCAGTCTCCACATGGTTTTCAGTTTCGGTCGTGGCACCAATAGAATTGCCTTTGGCATGATTAGGATTGGTTGTGACATCAACAGGATCAGTTATGGCATCAACAGAATCAGGTGTGGCATTAACAGAATTAGTTGTGGTATCTACAGAATCAGTTGTGGCATCAACAAAATCAGTTACAGCGGGAATGGAATTTGGAATGTTAGGGTCTAATTTGGTGTCACCGTCCCCAGTGTTGACATCTGTTTCAGATATTTGCGGTATTTCAAATTTGGTACTGGTTGTGGCACCGTTCACTGCCGTGGCAACAGAATTGGTTTTTACTGTACTTGTGGCATCTGCACTGACAGGAGGATCAATTTCCATAGGTTCATTGACTTGCTGTGGCATGGCTTCAATGTCACTTTGTAATTCCTCTTTAATACAAGGGATTTTATCTAGCAGTGGCATCGTACTGGTGCCTTCGAGAATCTTCCCAGAATTAACCCCTTGCAGACCACCAACCACATCAATTTCTGAATCCTCTTTGTTCTCTTCAACGAGATGTTTGTTTTCATTAGTTGCCATAGTGACAGAATTGGTTGTTGTCTGCGATGTTTTATTAGTCTCCATAGCAACAGAGTCTTTAACAATGTCATTCGGTTTGTTGCTCACGGCAACTGAAGTTGCCATGGTGACATCAGTAGGTGCTTTTACATTTGTTGTTGTGGTTATTGATTTTGTTACTACGGCAACTGGTTTAGGTTCACTTGTGGTGCTGTCGCTATTGGTAACAGCCTTAACTTCAGCTTTTTCAGCTTCTTTCTCTTTTTGCACCATTCTGAAAGTAAAGAAAACTTTCTTAATACAAAGCATTGAACTATTATTGTGAAAAACGACAGGATTGCGCAATAAAAAAGTCAGTGGACCTGATATTTATTAGTTTCAAGAAGATTAGATTTATTCCCTCAGATCAAGGGTGTGAACAAGCATCTCGATTTGTAGTAGAAAAATAGTTATCGCTAGAAACAGTAAACAGCTACATTGATAAAAGCCTTTATGTTCCATATTTTCATAAAATATGTGTCTACCAGGAAATACGTTAAAATATAAAAATAAGGCTTCCAGGGGCACTTTTTGTTTATAAAATTTGAAAGCGATTTGTTCTTTAGTCAAAAAAGAAAAGCAAATCATTTCTCAACATCGACAATATGTATGACCCCACCTAATCCATATGTAATGAAATTGTAAATTTGGTCATATTTTTGAAAATAGTGGCTACTTTGGATCTACCAATCAAAATAACACTATAAATACTACTGGAATGTTAAACAGGGGGCCACAAGCCATAAAAGTTTGAAAAACCACTGCTCTTACAGAAAAACAAATAATAACCCACCTCCATCCTAATAATATATCCACTTTGGAAGCTGACCATTTCTTGTTGTATATGGGAGTACGTTTCAAAAGATTCTCAGATACATTTATGACATCACATGAGTTAATTATAGAGTCATAGAGCTCAAAAGGACTTTTAGATTGTGATGTCACAGTGGGTATAGCTGTGGATGCCACTGTATCTGACTCAGATTGTGATGTCACAGTAGTCTCACTTGATGATGTCACAATGGGTTTTGATTGAGAAGAAGCCTCTTGCACCAATGAATCGAAAATTGTTTTTTCTTCGGTTAAATCTGCGGACTTTGTTGTCGTAGTGCTGGTAGTCGATGTTGATTTTTCTGAGTCCGTGTCAATATCGGGGAGGACTGGAACGGTTTCTTTTTTCTCTGGAGTGTCGACTTCCATCTTTACTGGTTTTTCATTTGTAGTGGGGGTAGCATTTGTAGTGGGGGTAGCATCTGTGATTAACATGAAATGAATAAAACAACTTATACAAAAACTTATAAATATTGATTCCACAACTTGAAAAAGGCTACTTTTCATTATAGACTTATTTTTGTCAAGTGAGATTGCAAAGGAACAGGACCCCAACCCCAACAACACTGTTTTGCAACCTTTTAGGTAGAGCGGAACCCTAATGAAACATTTTGGGGGAACCCCCATGCAATAGTTTAATTGTCTCATGTTGTCTGAATTGTATGAACTATGTATGAATATAAATTAAAGCAAACCTAATACTAGCAAAACAAAATAATCGTTAAAGTTTAGCAAGTTTGATAATAGGGGCAAACCTAATTAAGGTATTTGGTTATATTCAAACAATAGGTGCTCCCGAAGTATGCGAACCAAGATGGCGGACATCGGAACGTAACATGGGTAACAGGTTAGGGTTAGGCGATAATTTTTTTCCAATTTTCCTTATTTTAGTCCTATTATCAGTTCGAAGACTAGCCAAGAGCCTCCCGTAGTATTTATACCTAAAATTATGGCCTAACCCTAACCTAGTACACATATTACATTCCGATGTCCGCCATCTTGGTTCGCATACTTCGGGAGCCCCAAACAATATATACATTTCAATATAGATTTTCGGATTTGATTGAAAACTTGCAGAACCGCTGGACTGTACTGGCAGAGCCCTAGGGTGCTGCAGGGCCCTGGTTAAAAACCAGCATAAAAAAAACACTATGAATCGGAATATTTTGGTGAAATTTTAGAATAATCAATATACAGGGCGGTGTTGCCAGAATTAAAACAAAATAAAATAGCACAATATCAACAAATGATAATTTTTCACACATAGTTAAATATTTTGTTGGAATTTTATGAATTCTAAAGCTTTATTAACAAATAAAATATGTCTATCAAAAAAATCATATATGAATATTTATAACTCACCAGTGTTAACTCTAAGCAAATTATGAGTGCGAAAGTGCTTCGCAGTCGGAAAAAAAAGTGCGAAAGTGCTTTTGCCGAATTTAACAAGTTAGGTGCCCTAGCTTTTCATATAACCCATTTAAAACCGCATAGATACTCGAAAAAGCGCTCCTCCGGTTAATATTATGAATTAAAGAGAAGCCTTTTCGTTAACCGAGTTCCCTTCAAGCGAATTCATGTTTAATTAATACAAGGGAATTCATCGGCAACGAAATGACATCTGCTAACACCTGCCGCGGACAAAACTTTCATGCAATGTATCACGGTGTCAGTTGCTTACTCGCGTAAACAGCAAAGACTTTCGCATTTGTTACTCCTTACATCTAACAGACATGAGGCAGGCTGGAAACCATAGTAGTTACAGGGTGGATCGTTTGTACAAATCCCCTGCAAAATAATCCCCCCCCAAATATAAATAGCAATCAACTAATTAGGGTTAGGTGCGCTGGAAATTCAACTTTTCGATTTATCCCTAAACCTAATCTGATAATTATTAATTTGTGATTTTGAACCACTTTGAAAGTCGCCACCCGCTGTTTTAAAAGATAGGTTAACCTACGTTCCCTCTGAAATATTAGGCAGGATACTCCTCTGTTTTAGGAGATAGGTTGACCTGACCTACTTTCCTTTCAAACTTTTTTCTCCGAAGTATTACACAAGATCACTTTGAAAATCCTCCGTTTCGTGAGCTAGCGTAACCTAATTTCTCATTTACATTTATATTATACTATTTCAGAGCTTACCCAAAGACAAGTAATTTTTAAATGTCAACATGCCTTGGTTGGCGTGTGAGTCAGTTTAAATCGGGCAGAAAACATCATATATTGGCAAAATGTTTAGTAATGTCATGTACTTTCAGCATTCATAAATAGCACTCTTTGTAATGCTGCTGACCTAGTATCAAATATTCGCATCACAACGCCACTTGCGCGAGGTTTCCATATATTTCAATTACACTAATAGGAACGATGACACCAAAGAGTTTTCTTTTGCGAAGGTACACTAAATATAACGAGGGTGATTCTTGAGAATATAATATAAAAAATATAATAAAATGAATATAAAAAATAAACGAATGATAGGATAGTGGATCCCAAATAATTTTGAGAGTGTATCGAAATACCAATTCATTTGATAAATAATTTTTATTAGACCACATGAACGCTGATATCCCGAAAATTAATGTTGAAAGAGAAATACGCATTCTCAGATATCGGACATCCATTCGCGATATTCAATCGTTCATATGCACAAATCTCACATTAATAGTAATTGCTACCCAAGTTTGTAAAGTTTAGAAACCAACAAACAGAAAATAACTTATCCCGAAACACAATTAAAATTCAGTCCGCAATAAATTCGTCGCCAAGACGATGCCATACAAAACAAAAAAGATTTGGTCGCGAGAGTTACGTGAGATGACTGCCGTTGTTTTTTAAGCAGAATGTAAAAAAATTTATAATTAATAAACGGGAGTTAGGACGCCCCTTACACATCGTGTGTATTAAACTTCCCTGGTAAGTACTTTGGTAAGTACTATTATTATCGTACTTATACACCTGTTGGAGTATTTCGGACAATTTCGAATTTAAAATAAATGAAAACCCGACATATAATAAAGGCGCAAAAGTAAAATGAACATTTATTGAAAAAGTTATTATTTAAGAAAAACAACATGATCGTACAATTCCGCCAAAACCTCGATGTTCGCAAGTGAGATGATAAATAAATACTTCCCCGTATTCGATCAATTAACTTTAGCGTATCGTTGTTCTGCCAACAATCAGCCGGGTGCAAAATATTTCCGTCCTGTGATATGCTCACAAATATTCTCGATATTAATATCATACCCTCGCGTATGTACTTTCTATTAGCTCTCTAGTGATCCCTTCTATCCTTGGCCAAGTCATGTTTCGAATATGTGAACATTTTATTCGACCATACATGGCCGGCGGGATGTTAAAATTGTAAACAAGAGAGAGGTAAAATCAATCGCGAATTCCGTTACAACGGCTCGTTTACGAATTGTTGCGCCTGTTATCGTCGAAAATGATTACATTTGTTGTATTTTGAGGCATTTAAGCAGTAATAATTAGGGCATGACATCATCAAAATCGTCAAGTGAGATCTTGAAATTGCAAATTCCGTAAATAAAATTGTGAATTACTCGGTAACGAGTTCAGCTTTAATGAACGTCGGGGTATTGTTTTGTTGAAAATTATTATTAATGTGAGAGCGCCAAAAACATACAGTCCATACCGATGCGACTGCAATTTATATGGTCGCAATTGGTGTGGCGCGGTTATTAATAGTGTAAAATAAATTAAACGAATATCAATTATAACCAAGCCTGTCAGCGTGTTTATTTTCTGTGGGCAGGAATCGTAAAATACCATCTTGAGACAAATTCACTTCTATTATAAAATCTTAATTTTCAGTTATTATCGTTATACAAATAACGTGTGGCAACTTTTTAATTTAACGACCAAAAAACCGCCCCACACTCGTCCAAACGTGTGTCGAGCTTGAACGACAGGAACAGATTCATCGACGACCTTAATTAGGGAAAATATGTATTTTATTGAGTATGCAAAATAAATGTAACAAAACGCATTTTTTGTGATATAACTTTTGTATTTTCGGAAACGGGTTGCCGTGAATGGTAAAATTTGATCTAAATTAATCGCAAAATGTTTTATTTTAAATGTAACAAAACACATTTTGCGATATAACCTTGTATTTTCGAAAACGGGTGTCCTGAAAAGTAAAATATGATCTAAATTAATCGCAAAAATGTTTTATTTTAAATGTAACAAAACACATTTTCGCGATATAACCTTGTATTTTCGGAAACGGGTGTCGTGAAAAGTAAAATATGATTTAAATTAATCGCAAAAATGTTTTATTTTAAATGTAACAAAACACATTTTTCGAGATACAACTGTATTTTCGGATACCGGGTGTCATGAAGAGTAAAATATGATCTGAATTAACCGTAAATAATGTTTCATTCCAAATGTATCATAACGCATTTTTTGCGATATAACTTTGTATTTTCGAAAACGGGGCGTCACGAAAATTATTAATCTAATGTTTTATCTATCGTCTAACTAACGTCTGGAACACATCATTTTGGGGAGAACTCTAGCCCGCAAACGTCATTTAATTTAAAATAGAGAATGTTTCACGCATTTCAAAACGGAAAATTACCAGTAAGTGGACAGGGATTCAACCCTCTGGATTTAGTATTCTATATCCCCGTGTCAGAACTTTCTGAAGATGGAACAAAGAACCCGTCAAACCGCCGCGGAAAAGGGGAGTATTTTTTTGCACTAATAATTAGGGCGTGACAATATCAAAATCGTCAAGAAACTGGTGAATTTGCAAATTCCATAAATAAAATTGTGAATTGCTCGGTAACATTTCAGCTATAATTATCGCCGGGGTATTGTTTTGTTGAAAACACGTTGAAACTTGAGGGAATTAGTTACAATTAGCGCCTGACCTCTATTAGGCACTCGAGCACTCGAAAAAAAAGCACTCGAGCCCAATTTTTTTAGCATTAAGTCGCATACGTAAAATATCCTGTAAAAGAAGTGCTGTTCATTAACGTCATCTCGTCTTATGACCACCAGAAATGCCTTTATTGCCGAATTATTCAATGACTATTTTAAATCAACATTCAGGATTGGCACAATTTCAGATTTGTGAGTTTATCACCATAGTAAAACATGAGAAAGTTAATTATCGTCTTAATAAATATCTGCATCACGGTATGGACAATAATATTACCATTCGCATAAAATTGGGAGGTAAATTTACAAATCTTGATAGGTAATATTAAAGTCAACGTAAATGTTAATTTGAGTCCTCAATGTCTTCAAAAGCTGTTGCCGATATGAACGAACGGGTAAACCCGAAATATAAAACTTCGATGTCCGCCGACCCACAAGAATTCATATTTGTAAAAAAGAGAGGGCGGGAATATAGATTACCCAAAACCTGGATATCGCCGCCAAAACGATCGGTGACAAGAACAATTAGCGATTACAACGGAATTAACCAGTAAAAAGGCTTTGTTGCCGATTTTTTAATGTTCCACCACGTTTATTCGGTACTCCTTAAAAATATTCGATTCAAAAAAATATTGAATTTTGCCCACCCGTCCGCATATCAATGAGAAATAGTTGTGTAAATATCGCAAAATTCCGGAAAATGCTACCTCCTCTAAACATTGTGATTACAATAAAATGGTACTTAATGGTATTTTGTGAATTTGGTGATTTTGCAAATCTGTGACATGCTGCTAAAAGTTTCGTCTGATTTGAAAATCGTGCAGTTTGGTCACAATTCATCCAAAGTGACTATAACACGTTACTAACACTTTTATAGTAATTTTGAATTCATCGATATCATTGATAGTCACATGACCACTCTTGTTCAAAGAAACGCACTGGGTAGTATTCCAACATCTGGTACACCCGGGAGCGTTTTTTGCGGGAGAAGCGGAATCGGTGTGCTTGTATAATAATCATATTATAAACAAGAATTTTGCCGTTAATGCAAAAGCTTTATCTCCTATGTCTGCATCTCATAGGTTAGAATTTGGTAAATAACGTTATGATATGCAGAATTGAGTTACAAAAGTACTAGTATGTTACTTATTTGTCAACTTAATACTCGAAAATATTTGTTAACTTTGAATTTTTATTCCATTCAAAATCGGAAAAAAGTGCTATTTCTCTTCAAAATCGGAAAAAAGTGCTATTTCGCAGTCCCTAAAAAATGTTGCGAAAGTGCTTCGCAATTTTCGCAAAAAAGTGCGCTAATAGTGAACACTGTAACTCACCCTTGCTCATTTCATGAACTAGTGCGAATGGTTTTGAACTGTACGGACGAGTTTTAGACAGTCTCGTTGTTGAAACCCAAATCCAACCTCCATAACCAGTCATTCGGTATTCTTCACCACGAACTTTCCACACCTAAGAAGGATGAACGTTTAAATTGTAACACTGTAACACCTTATGTAAAAAAGAAATACGACAACATCCTTCTATGTCAGCGGTTCCCAACCACAATGCTAGGAGCGAAACAAATTTTACTTTTCACTATTTTACAGTAATAAAGGCACTGGGCAAAAGGCGAAAGATATAACGTAGCGGCATTAGCAAAAAATATGTATTGTGAAGTGAAAACTGTGGGATTAGGATTTTATAATTGATGAGGAAAATCTAAGTGCTGACGAGGGCCACACTGATGGGCTTGGTGTGCTTGGTTGTGGCCCGCTGACCCCCTGTTGCACGCCCGTCTCGAAATATAAAATTATTTGAATATTAACAACTCTAGTCACAGTAGCAACTCTAGTAACCCTTCCATGACATAGTATTAACCCGTTCCTCACTTACCAATGAACTCTTGATAGGGAATGTATATTTGCACCAAACAGCATTTCTATTCGATTCTTCTTCGTCCGCTCGTAACTTGTGTTTTCTCTTCTTGTCCCATTCTTCTTTATCGGTAACAGACACTCGTTTCATTTTCGGTAATCCGTTCGAAACTCTCCAAACCGATCGTTTCACAACGTTTCTTGTCGCCATCTCAAGAATTCCGAGAGCGGCAGCAAAGTTCTGCAATATAGCATACACAGATGATATGGATCAAGGATTCAGTTTAGATAAGGCAGTGCTCCCCATTTAGAGGTCAAACCCCAGGGGCTGGGTCCATGAGCTATCCGAACATAATAGGAAAACAATTTACATAAACATGATTTCTCGTCTTTGTGGCATATCTCGCGCGATATGAACAAAGCAGCCACACAAAAGATTGGATACTCTGGCAAGCCTGATAAATGCAGGACAGCATGGTTTTGGAAGAACAAGAATTTATTGCCATGGCCAGCATTAGGACCCCATTACACTTACATAGTAAATTACTATCAAATTTAACCATTATCAACTGTAATCCTGCAAAGTCAGAGTGCTTATTCTGTACACAAAAGGCTTGTAAAATTACTTTGATTGTGACCCATGCATCTCAACAACAAACCATAAGCAATACAAAACTTCCCTCACAAGGGGAGCCACCAATACCTGGAGATGGTCACAGCCTATTCAATATACATTTTCACAGTACATTATTGAATATAAATTTCAACCGATAACTGAACAAAAAATTAATCCTCTCCTCACCTCCTCACAAAAAATTATCATTCTCCCAACCTGTAGAGGGCCACATCACATAATAATGTTCACAGGATAAGCACCTTCAGAATATATTTGCACACAAAAAACAAACGTTTTGACCCGGAACTGCACAAAAAATTCACTCTCTACACAAAGAAGCAATGAATATTAACTCTCTCCTTACCTGTGGAGTGTCACATCCAAGCACAATCTTTCCCCAAGCTTTTCTATACCTTTCCCATTTTGTATGCATAAAGCATAGAGGTATTTGGTGTTCCAGATGCATCAAAGTGCTACGAAGTGTCTCCAGCATGGATTTCTGCCAAAATAAAAAGTATATCCTTAGATGTTTATTTGTTTATAGCATTGGTTTCCGGAAAAGCGGAAGGATATTCTCTGGTCAGAAGAAGGAAGCGCCTGCAAGGGGCCGATGCTGATGTATATTTAAGATATCCAGTATAATTGAATTTCTACGAATATACACGTACTTAAACTGTGATAATTACATAACAATTGGCAGCATGGTACACCACAGAGAGAAAAAACATACAGTGTTGAACCATTTCACTTGAGTTCGGCGAGCCAAATTAAATTGTAATTGGCCTGTGGGTTTGTGGACCACTGGTTTATAGTTATGGTGTGGAGATTTGTCACATTTCATTAACTTTCAAGTTCCATATTAAGGATCTGGAAACTGCAGCTTGGCTGCAAGAAGCTTAGTGAAAATTAAGAACTAGAATATCGTTTAGAAACCGAAGAATTATCAATCGAAGGTTAGGGGATCCCCCAAAACAGTGGTCTTACTCCATAGTGACACCGTGTGTCCCATCCCTAATCAATTAATAACTCGCTAATTATGAGACATAATCCATCCAAAATCAATAGGCTTCTGATCCGAGCTATGATGAATGCACATGCAAAATTTGGAGCAGATTCAACCTCGCTTTCGTGAGATATCGCGTGCATCTAACACACAGACAAACAGACATACAGACATACTGACAGTCAAATACCTATCAACATACTTACCGATCTTAAAATCGATAAGTAGCAAGCGTACCTCATTCCCCATAGTGTCTCCGATCCATTTAAACTGCCCCTCCCCAAACAATGAGAATTTATACGACAAATATCTCTCTCTATCCCTCTCTTCTTTGTGTTGAAGTTTATTCAAAGCAAGATTGTTTTCTGTGTAATGGTTCACATACTGACGATACGCTTTGTCTTCGCCTAGTCTGGATTTGAAAATAAAATTTTTATGCCGGTTCAGGTAAGTTTGAGTTCAAGCATTGACACTGTATCAGGTTTAACTGATTTACTAATTTTTTTTTAATAGTTCTAAGTGATTCAAGAGTCTTGCTACACATGAACATAAATATATTTCTGTAACATTTTTTCAGGTGGACCATAAACATATTGAAAATTGCTGAAGTTATTGATAAAATGTTATAGTTTGATTAAAGTAGCAATGAATGATGATGCTGTTTCTAGAAACTGAGTGGTAATTTTCCCTTTGATTAAAAGTTGCAGTGTCCATTTTTACGAAAAATAAATTTTCGTTTCTATTGTAGTTTTTTTCTTGCATGAGAAAGGTTCATGGCCACAGAATTTTTGTGCAACTTAAGAGAAGAAAGGTTGAGAACCCATGATCTAGTGCAGGGGTCACCAAACTTTTTGGACCGCAGACGGGTATGACTCAAACTGTGTTGAAGCGGGCCGGACAAATATTTTTTGTCAATGCAATACAATAAATTCCCAAATTTTGGGAAATCCGAAAGTTCAAAACCGTTGGAAACGCTGCACTGAACAAACCTAAAATATGACTCTGCCTCCTCATCGTGAGTCAATATCTTCTTTGGTTTCGGTTCTTCTTTAATGGTGACTGGAGTCTGTGATGGTGTGGTAGGAGTCTAAAAAAATTATATATATTTATCCATATACTGCCAGCATAATTAGAATCCAGTGCTTCAAATAATAGGGCAGGAATGGGCAAGCTTTTTCGACTGGGTGCCAAAAATTTTACCCATCCATACTGGCGGGCCATGTGAGTGTGTTGAAAAGCACTCTATTTTATGACCAGTGTTAAATTTAATCACAATCTCAACAAATTCCTTGAGATACTGCCAGCATAATTAGAATCCAGTGCTTCAAATAATAGGGCAGGAATGGGCAAGCTTTTTCGACTGGGTGCCAAAAATTTTACCCATCCATACTGGCGGGCCACGTGAGTGTGTTGAAAAGCCCTCTATTTTATGACCAGTGTTAAATTTAATCACAATCTGAACAAGTTCCTTGAGATGTTTTTTAGCTTAAACATCAAAATTTGGTTTTAGTTTGGTTGTGATAATTGACAAAACAGATTAGAAAATTAAATACCAACAATCATGGTAGTGCATGTAAAATTGGTTAGAAGCAGAAATTTATGGCAGCATCAGGCGGAACAGATTGAATCACCAACGGGCCAAATTTGGCACGCAAGCCATAGTTTGCTCATGTCAGTTCTGGGCGCCACACTCAATTATATTTTGAGATCAAGTTCCAGTAACCCCCTTACTTGAGTAGAGACTTACTATGAGACAGCAAAGATGAAAAAAAAAATTTCCCCCCAAGACCAAAACTACTTAGCTTACCGCGAGCATGGGCTTCCCCCGTCTCAGCTGATGAGGTGTGCTGATTATATGATGCGTGTTTGGTGTCTGAATATAAAAAAAAGCAACAAAAAATGAGCAGAGCAGATCAAAAAGAGGGCCCGACCCCCGTTGGGTCGCGAAAGGACTAAATGGGGATCATGGTAAATTCTTTTTTAACAATAACTTATGTTTAAACAAAATTTGAAAGGATTTGAAACCAGTACTGAAACTCACCAGACACAAAATAGAGTCAAGACTTGATCTTTTGTGAGAGAATATGCAAGCACATCTTATAAAAGGTATTGTCAATTTAAAAAAAATAAAAAATAAAACTCCCGAAAAAAATTAACTCCAGTACAAATGCAACCAGTTCTAGCCGTATTCAATGTCTTTGGTCGAGCTGCTGTGAACCCCAACAAAGAAATCCCCCCCCCCCGCTTAAAAAAATAATTTCAGTACAAATGCAACCAGCACTAGCCGAATTCAATGTCTTTAGCCAAGCTGCTGTGAACCGGAACATAGAAATTCCCCTCCCCCACTCAAAAAAGTAACGGAAGTACAAATGCAACCAGCACTAACCGTATTCAATGTCTTAGGTCCTGCTCCTGTGAACTCAAGTTTCTTCAACTCTCTGTTAACTTTAGGCAAAGCCACCTTCGCTGAGTTCAAAACCAGGATCTGTCGATTGAGTTGGGTTGGAGCATTACCTGTAGAAAAGAATGTAAGAGATATAAAATGGGGTTTTCCATTGGACGTTGGTCCCCTGAGGAGTAGCAGAGCGATTCTCAAGGAGCCACTAGTAAAGGCCTATACTGGTTACCATCCGCGATGACACCATCGCGACATCACTTTGAAGTAAACTGTGATTTGTTCAATTCCTTTACTGTAATGCATTTATTTACTTAGGTTTATTACTCGTTTGTTAACATGGAGTGTAAAATAACCAATGGAAACAGGTCAAACTAGACATTTTAATTGAAGACCAGAGATTATAAGGAATAGAAGTCTCTGGAAGAGAGCACCAGATCATGTAGGTTGGAGAAATACTGGTGCAAAGAAGTTAATTTACGTTTTTATGGGCCCTAGAGATTAAAACAGTGGATTCAGCTATGTTGGCATTGCAGGTGGAAAATCTTGGCTTTATTTCCCATGTCTAACTCATTACCCAGTGTGTAATAAATTGAGTAGCTGAAGACAAACCAAAAAGATCCAGCCATTTCGAAAATTAAATAAAATAATATTGACCCAAGTCCATCCCCAAGGGATAAAAAATCCAACACAGACTATAGCATCATCGGAAAGACTAAAGTTCCAATATGGCAAACTTGACTTGAATTACCTGTAGCATTAGCTGGCATGAGCTTCCCTGCAGGTCCCAGAGTTATTTGTGTTTTTGATCCGTCTTTGTTCAACACAAATAATGTCTTCAACTGAGAGATGTTGGATTGGACTGGCTTTTGGTTCAATTTGATAACCTGTTAATAAGAAGTGGGTTAACCCGGTATTGAGGTGTTAGTGTATAACAGTAGTTTGCAACCGGAGTTCCGTGAAACCCCTAGGTTCTGCCCCAGCAGTCCAAGGATTCTACATGTTGATATTCAAATTCGTGAATATATAATATATATATTAAATGCAAACCATACTGGCAAAACAAAATGATCTTCAAAGGGTAGCAAGTCCAATAATATTAGCTAACCTAATATCTATTTGATTATATTTAATCGGCGCTCCCAAAGTATGTGCACCAGGATGGCGCACAACCTGAACCCTTCCTGGTACAACTACTATGTTCAGGTAGTGCGCCATCTTGGTGCACATACTTCTGGAGGTCCATTTAATCAATATGCATATAATAATATAGCCTCTCGTAAATGCGTGGAAACTTGCGGAACACTCGTACTGCACTCCCGAAACCATGGGGTGTTGTGAACTCAGCTTAAAAACCACTGCCTTACACCATGAGAGACAAGTCAAGTTACGTTCACCAGTTCCAGTCATAGCAAATATTAAGTTAAGTCCCATGGTTAGTGGCAGTGTTTGGGATGCGCTTAGCAGACTGGTTCTCAACCAGTGGGCCATGGCCCACTGCTGGGCCACAGCAACACTCTGAAGTGGGCCACAAACCCGTTGAAAATTGCAAGAGGTATTAATAAATTTATTTTTATTTTGTGTCACTAGACGTAAATTTGGAATGTATTTGGCAATGAATGGTAATACTGTTTTTGCGACTGAGGTTTTTCATATTAATTACTTATCGATCTTAAGATCGGTAAGTATATTGATAGGTATTTGTCTGTATGTATGTATGTCTGTCTGTCTGTCTGTGTGTCTGCGTGTCTGTTAGATGAACGCGATATCTCGCGAACGTGTGGTTGAATCTGCTCCAAATTTTGCATGTGCATGCGTCTTACCTCGGACCAGAAGCCTATAGATTTTGGGTTAATTATGTCGTATAATTAGCGAGTTATTAACTAATTACCGATCTAAGATCGATAAGTCTTCGGTCTCCGACCGACATTCTCGTTATTAAAGTGAAAGTGTCTATTTTTGCGGGAATGCGTTCCCTCTCATGAAAAAAGGTAATGGGCCCGTAATTTTTTGTGCAACGGAAATGGGCCACGAAAAAAAAGGTTGAGAACGACTGTAATAGCAGAATACACCATACCGCCTAGTGATTACATTACAACTTTACAAACCTGTATATTCTTTCCTTGACCTCCCTGAATCAGCTTCGGAGTTAGGACAGGATTTATGGCTCCTCTTGGGGTCAAAGTAATTGCTGGTCTTGTAGGGGTACTACTCAGTACCACAGGGGTCAAAGGTTGTGACCTTGATACTGATGGGGTCAATGATTGCGATCCTGAGACTGATTGCGTCAAAGATTTCAAAGCAGATAAAGTAGAAGTAACAGGTTGAGAAGTCATTATCTTTGGGGTCAAAGGTTGTGACCCTGCAAGTTCGGGGGCCAAAGGTGATGATTCTGAAGCTTTAGGGGTTAAAGGTTGTGACCCCACAGTAATTGGGTTTGTAGTTTGAGGCTCTGTGATGCTTTCTATTGCTGTTTGCAATTCTGGTTTAACAGGGGTCACAGGTTGTGACCCTGTTGCATTTGGGGTTAAAGGTTGTGACCCTGTTGCAATTGGGGTTAAATGTTGTGACCCTTCGCCGGAAGAATTTGCAGGAACTGGGAGGGTTTCTTTGTCTAATGGTTTCGGAATTTCTTCTTTAATCTCTGGAATGGTTTGAATGGTGCTGGTTGGTACATCAGATTGGTCTGTGTTGGTTTTTGTAACAGTAATATCTGGTTTCTGGTCTTCAGGAGTGGTTGTAGAGGTTTCTGAATAAAGATTGCAATGATTTTAACAAGTGATGCCGATATTCCATCTAAAATAGGCACCTCTAAAACATGTTTGGAAAACTCTCAAAGATCTGCAATAGAGTTACTCCAAATTGACCCCCGGCCCCTTGAAGCACTTCTCTGAGGGCCACAAGCAAATTTCTTCACCAGATACCATTAGTGATGACTAAATTGATTTGAAGAAAATTGAACATGATTTTCTTATTCTTTTACTTTCGCATTTGGAGGAGCTTTCGCAAGCGAGGTTGGTAAAATAATCGATGGAAACACGTTGAAATCAAAACTAGGTATTTTTCCAAAAGAACAAAGTTTTGAGAGTTTTTGAAAGGAGGGAACAAAATCGTGGAATTTTGAGAATCATGGTCAGTGGCCTGTCTGGGGGGTCATAAGGTAGATGCCCTGGGCAGCTCGTTATACGGAGGGTTTGTTGCTGTTTGATGATTTAAATAATGATAGCACAAACACATCACTCTTACTTGACCTTTAATTTATTAATTCTCATGAACAACATTATCTATAATTTTTTCATCTCCCAGAATTATTTTGAGGTATTATTTATGGGGGGGTATCATTATCAGAAACTTGCCATAGGCGGCAGGAAAGTTCGACACGCCTCTGATCACGGCACTAGACCATCAGCCACATAATTTTTGAACAGGCAATACCTTCTGGTTTTTCAGTTCCAATTTCCATTTTCATGTCTTTTGAGTTTTCAGCTTTTTCCTGTTCTTCCTTTTCGGCCTTTTCCTGTTGTTCCTTTCTTTCCTTTTCAGCTTTTCCCATTTCTTCCTTCCTTCTGATTTCTTCCTCTTCCTTCTGTTTTCTTTTTTCTTCTTCCATTTTTTTCAGTCGTTCTTGTTCCAGTTTTTCTTCCTTTTCTCGTTTAACACGGGCTAATATTTTAAAAAACATAAAGCGATGTTACATGAAGTTCAACTTAGAAATGATATTCAATAAAGTTGCAGAATCGGGACTTAGCATGATTTGAAGTTGTATTTTCAAACTCCTCAAAATTCCAAATTCGATGGAGCTGAATTAGTGTTGGGATTTCAGACTCCAAATTATTAACTTCTTATTTATCGATTTTAATCGGTAATTTGTCTGAATGTCTGTATGTATGTTTGTTTGTCTGTTAGATGCACGCGATATCTCACGAAAGCGAGATTGAATCTGCTCCAGATTTTGCATGTGCATTCATCTTATCTCGGACCAGAAGCCTATTAATTTTGGGCGAATTATGTCGTATAATTAGCGAGTTTTCAATCAATTATTGATATAGTGATCTAGATTTTTGTAAAGCGAGAGAATTTTGAGACCCACCAAGTGTGTGTGTGCGATGCGCAGTGTGCAAGTTACAAGAGCGGATGAATCGAAACTGCAGTTTCTGTTTTGGTGGATCCCCTAACTATCGATCGATAAGTCTTCGGTTTCCAACCGATATTCTCGTTTTCTCATTTACAATTGTGATTATCATCTTGGAATCACAGTGCTCTGATCTTATTTCCCACTCTTTGAGTGACCAATCATTGTGTATCAAGATCGAATTATTCCAAGGTTTTTGTATCTTTATTAATTTAATATTTACCTCGGTGTGCGACCTGGCCACTCAGTATAACAATATAAACCAACCGGTGCTTATTTCAAGTTTAAAGATGTGGAAAAAACTTTCAAATACTTGGTCTACCTTTTAATGCATCAAGATACATTGTTGTTTTTTCATCAGGCAATGCCTCCCTGGTCAGTTCTTCTGTTAAAATACACTGTTTGGGAAATTCTTCTGTGACATCCTTGAGAGCCTGTTTGTAGAAAAATGAAATTCAATAAATTAGGAGAGAGATAAGAGGACAAAGGACATAACAAAAATAATGAAATTTTAGTCACACAAGTATATTGGATAATACATTGAGTTTAAAAAAAAGATCTTGATGGTGGAGGCCGTAACCCACAAGTTCTCAAACTGCTCCATACAGGGCCCCAGGTCCCTCGTGAAAAAAACCTAAGGAACAGCAATAATAAAATTTGATGCTTGCAGAGTCAAAAAGGCGGTTTGGAGTGAAATGTGAAAACGAAGTAAAGTATCCTTCGAAATAAACAGTAAAGAGTAAATAAGGACTTACCTCAAACAAAACGATCTCATAACGATCAAGATCAAGTTTTGATAAAACTTCTTCATATTGTTCCATTGTTGAGTAATAACGAACTTCCTCTGCTCCCTCTCTAAAAGTAAAAGGTAATCCAGCAATTGATAAAAAGGCTGGAAAGATGGTTCAATGGTCTGTGGCCTCTTTCAAAAACTATCTGCACATGTGGCACTTTCATAAAAAACTTGGTTCTGTTTTTTATTGCATAGCTAATATGAGTAACAGCATTTCCAATAATACGGCTTAATCATATGGCAAACTACCGGTTACCAGTCCATGTCGAGTATGGGATTAGTTAACTAGTTATTTGTTTCAGATGAAAATTATCAAATAAATTACGGTCTCAACACTAAAATGCAATACTTGCAGTAAATTTAATAAATTTGAATGACATGATTTAAAAAACAACAAAAATATAAATCTTGAAATTTAGTCGTTAAACTGTTATACAAAGTACCTACAGATTTAGCCTGTCCTTCGATCAAACAGCAAGCCAAACATTTTCATAAACATGATAAATGGGAATTTCAAAAAACACACAACTCACACAATCAGCCTTCTAGCAAGGAACCAGTACTTATTGCCATGTCTATCCATTCCAATTGGTTCGTGTCTCAGATATTGACTTTTGAATTCCTGCTGGGGTTCGCAGTTAAAGACTCCGTTTAATTTATGAGCTACGCAGATTTCACATTGCCATTCATCGTCTGGGACCTGGAAGACGAAATATTGTTTTCAGATCAGTGTTTTTTCCTAACCTGGGGTGCACGTGCCCTGAGGGAGCAAGAACTGCCTTTTGGGTTTGTTAGAATGCTTAATTGTTAAGTTCAATTTATGGGCCACACACGTCTGGCACCTTGAACTAATTAAGTGTATTTTTTATGATTTGTATTCACGCCTCAACTCCAAACAAGGTACACACTCGTGTATAGAACAATTATGTTTTAGAAAGAATCTGAATATTTTAGTTATGAAACAGCGAAACTATGGGAGTACATTAAAAGTAAAAAAAAATGGCTGATCTACAAAAAACATACAAGCCTTTGAACTATGTATTTGAGAATATTCTAGGTTAGTGAAATATTTTAAATGGTTAATTTCTATTCAAAGACAATATATAAAATACAATATAAATAACCATACATACCTCTACCAACGGTGGGTCACAACAAGCCAAATGATACACAGCAGGGCAAGTTTCACAGCAAAGTAGATCTCCTAACTTGTGGCAAACTCTGCAGTTATCATCGTAATGTATCACTCCGTCTGTCATTAACTGGTCTCTAATCTTATTCGACGTTAAATATATGTCTGTGAGTGTCTTCAGAACCTGAAAAAAGAAAAAGTTTTTGTTGAGTGATTGACAGTTTCGGTTGGTTTTTGTACATTTTTTAAATGTTTTTAGTAAAAGAGGATTCTTTTTTAAATACACAAGAGCAACCCATTAAGCTTGAGGAGTATAATAATTATGCACACTCAAAAGAGACTCACGATTGAGCAAAGTTGCGGGTGGATGCTAGGCTTGGTTGGTATCATTGTCATGACATTTGCCGAGATAAACAACAGTTGTACCAACATTTCAAAATAGCTCATTGACAGACAAATTTAGAAATCAGTGTTTTGAGCATTTTATTGCAAAATTTTGTTTATTGATCAATAGATTTCTAATTCTTAGCACTTAAAAATGGAAGAAGTTGCTTTTAATTTCAATCATTTATTCAAATTTTTTTTGGGCACTTAAAATTTGCATGTTCTTATAACATATGGTAAAAGTGCAGGTGACAAAGTAATCTTAACATCCTGTGCAAATCACTATTTGCTGATGCGTAATGAACCACCATAGTTTGTATATATATAGTGTAGATTTTGACATTTCAGTGATCACCCATAATTATGCTGTGAGCTGAGGCTAATTTACTCCTGAGTGAGTGAAGCTATCTCTTGGCATCACAGTTGTCATCCATGAGTTTACTCAGCGATGAGTAAAATAAGCAACAACTAAAATAAAGCCAGGGTTTTAAAGTTTAGAGCCCAAATCTGGCATGTTTTTACTGATATTGAAGTCAAAATCAAAATTTTTTAAGCGTTAGTTTGAAAATCTGAGATGCTTTGGCTCGGCTAATCAAGTCTCTCCAAGTTTCAACAGCTCCCTGGTTGTCACTAAAAAATTTTTTAATGTAATCCAAGAGTTCGGATTGAGTGTAAATCTAAGTCCACAGTTGCCCTGTCAACAACAACCCCTTAGAATACCCACCTTAACCTTATCCTCCACATTAACTCTCGGAAACTTAGGATTCATAGCAATCTTTAAAGCTTCAGGATGTTCCCCAGTACTTTCAAGATATCCTCGGACAATTTCAGGCCAAGTCATGTGATCGATAAAGCCAACTGCCGCCCATATCGAGTCTTTTTGATCCTTAAATAAAGAAAATTTAGATCAGTAAGATTTCTGAATATATGATTAGATTACTTTGATTCTCTTGTGTAACAGTAGATTACAAAAGTAAATGTTATTGAACTGTTTCAAGCAGGGCCGTGCCGACAAAAAAAAAGACTAATAAGTTAAAATAATTTTGATTTTAACATCGGGCTGTAAAACATTCTGGCCTCGACTCCAGATCAGAACTCCAAACCCAATTCTGATTCCAGCTCTTAGCTATATATGTCAAACACTGACAACGGCTCCACTGACTCTGGTTTCAAGCAGTTCATTTGATTATGCCCAGTCTTCTTTCTGACCATAAAACTCCACTCCAATATCAGTTCCAAGTTAGATAAAACCAAGGATCACTTACATGAGGTCCAAATAACACTCCAGCAGAATCTTCTTCTCTCAGAATAGATTTCAGAACTGATGTGAAGCACTAGAAACAAAATATTACAGTATTATTATTGAGGCTCCATATTTTTAGTTTTTTCATAACAGTGTTTTAGACCAGGGGTTCTCAACCTGGGGTTCGCGAACCCCCAGAGGTTCACGAGAAGATTTCCAGGGGTACTTGGATGACAGTCGACTTTTTGTATGTTGCTGTTTTTTAATATAATTCATTACTAGTAGTAATGAGTAAAGTGTGTGCCCGTTGAAACTAGATGCCAATTGAAACGTAGATTTTCCCTGATCTTCCGTTGTTGTGATCGTGACGCAACAATGTGAAATTCACGGCTTTGTAGGCAAACTGTCAAATCTCTGAAGACAGCGTGCTGCGAGCATTGGATAAAGTGATTATGCTCTCAGAAACTTGAGAGATATTTTAAGAATTCATTAGTTGGGCGGATGACAAGGGCAATAATATTACCACGAAGATTAAATTTAGTTACATCTGGTCAATAAATTGTTGTTGCAACAAATTGTCAGTCAATATATCACAACTTTGTTCGGTGTCTGATTACCGGGGGTTCGCGTTGATTGTTTCGTGACTCAGGGGGTACTTGACAGAAAAAAGGTTGAGAACCCCTGTTTTAGACCATGTGTGTGCAACCTGCGGCCTGCGGGCTAAACGCAGCCCCACAAGAGATCTCTGTTCATAGTGAAAGTGCAAAAACGATATCTTGAAATTTACAGTCAATGGATGTGTCTCTCTCCCTCTCAAAAATAAACACAAAACCAAAAAAAGATGTATAAATTTTACCTCCGTTAGTAAAATATTAGTCTCTTCATCAACGAGAGCAGCACAGAAGTCTTCAAACAACATCGGAGAGAGACGGAGACAGGAACGAAAATGACGAAGCGTCTGAAACAGAAAAAAAAACTTTATCTTTAGGCAAAGAGAAAGGCTCAGGTCAAAGGTCAGAAAGCACCATCCAACCAAATAACACTATGGTGAACCAATCCAGGATCAAACTTTTTGAAAGTTGTCAATCACTCGACGTCCCCAAGGCTATGGAGCCGGAGTTTTGCAGGTTTTTATTCGTATTGAAGCTTGATTAGTATTTTCAAACCAGCACAGAATCGGGAGTCAGAATATCAGACTTCTAATGATGGCAATCAAAGTTGAAATTTCTGAGAAAAAGTTAAAAAACTGAAGCCAAAGCTCTTGATGGTCATGTCAGGTAAACAAAAATTCTTTGTACATTTTTGGACTTTGAAATACTTACACAAAATAAAATTCAATATGTATTGAAATAGAAAATATACAAAAGCAACATGATGCGCTTACCGTGATTGTGAACACTCAGATCAAGCATGGATCATGGTTAAGTGTTTAAAATGATTTAATTTAGTGCGGAAATACCTTGGTCATAACATAAACCTGAAAATACCATATTATTGTTACATCATGACTAAGGATGGCAGGGCTACCCAACAAATAGGGGTATCGGAACAAAAAGGATAAGCCAACTTATCTTAGACCAAACCATTAAAATATGATTACCAATAGTAATACCAACAATAAGCTCACCTCATAAACACCAAGCACTGGTAATACCAGGTTATTTGGTACCAGCAGGTCTTTACTAGATTCTGGTAATTCAAGAGGAGGACAATCTTCATCCATTTCAATGTCAGAGTAATCTGACAGATGCATTGAGGTGTTTTCTGAATAAAATTTCGACGAATTTTTAAAAAGTATTTATATATAAATGATCACGACGTCAGGAAACTCGAAAAATCCAGAATGACAGGAATACACTTAAAGTGGATCTTTAACTCACAGGTGTGCAACATTTTTTGTCGGTTGGCCATATAACCAACTTCAGACATCTAGCAGGGCCTGGCATAAAATTCAGTTGACTATGTGGAAAAGATAAGAGAATACTGCTATTACTTAGCATTGGAGTAATAAAGACACCGGGCAGAATGTTGAAAGATTTAACACAGTGATAAAAGCAAAAAACAGTATGTAATTTTACCCGTTTGAAAAATGAACTGTCGTATTAGGATTTTATGCTTGATAGGGAAAAATCTGAGTGTTAACAAGTGCTACACGAAATGGCTTGGCAGGCCGGGTTGTGGCACGCAAGCCGCCTGTTGTGTTAACTGTATATTTATTGTGTTTCTGGCAACTAGCATTCTCCCATATGGCTGAGCATGACCTGTGACGTCATCGGTCACAAATGACTGATCATGACAAACCCGCTGTGAAGGTGGAGTGGCCATGGATAGATTTATCAAAGTGATCAGGCTGTTGCACACCTGTGTTTTAACTGATCTTTGATAGATAGTTTTCACCGTCAAGCGTCATGTTTAGTAGGCTCCCCTTTTCTAATGTAAATTAGCTTACCACAATAAGATTAATTTAACACATGGTTATACATTCAAAAGAATGTCAATCTGGCATACACCGGGAAAATATATTAAACAAGATGATAATAATTTGTTGTTGGTCTCATCATAAACCTCTGCTAAATAATCTCTGGTAAGCGGTGTTAGTTAGATTTTTCATACGGTACTCGCCGTCAATATCAGTAATTTCAAAACTCCAGAATTCTAACATTTTGAATAAGATATTAGAACCTAGGGCTAGGGTTGCCACTTCTGGATACATTTTTTTTCGAATCGAATCTCGAATCAAAACTTTTCGAATCGAATCTTTCCGAATCTGATTCCATTAACTCTTTTGTTCCGTATAACATATATATTCGTACTACCATCCTTGGTCATAATAGTTATTTTCGGACTATTTTACGTTTATGTTCATGTTTTGTGAAGTATTCCGCACTAACTAAATCATTTTGAGCATCCAACTATGATCCGTGCTTGATCTGTCAACATTTTGTTTTTTTGTAAATTTTTTATTTTACTACTAAGTGAATTTTATTTGTGTAGGTATTTCAAAGCTTAGAGATACACGAAAGTATTTGTCATTACTTCAAAAATAAGTCATTTGAACGAGCGGAAACAATTTCGCGCACATAATAAAACAAACAAAGATTCCAGACAACTATCGTGGACATGCTCTCACATATCATTGATTATTTCGCGTTTCGCTTCGCTTGCGAAGCTGAGTCTGGTTTTTCTTCAAAGGTGACGTAACTCTCTTTCAGAAGAGCGCTTGGAATTTCGTTTTTTGTAACACGTGTTCATCGAAGCGATAAGAGTGTGAAACGTTCTCTCAAAAATTTTTGAAATTTCTCTCTTCTTACACGCGTAGGGTCGAACGGTTTCGCCTACGTCACTTGGGCGCGTTTTAGTAGGAAGACGCGAAAATAAGCTTTTTAAAGAGATATTGGGGGTGTTCCTTGTACGTTTGGTTAACTGGTCATTACATATTATAAAATGGTACATAAAGTCGATTGTATACAGCGGAAAAAAAGGGTTAAGCTTTTTTTTTTATTACATGCGTATGTTTGCCCAAAGTCACAAAAAAGCTCAAATCTAGAAGAAAAAAATTTGAAAATGGAATAGGCTATATAGCAAGGATGATAAGGGTTTTTCAGTGAATAAGCCACACTTATTTTCATCATGATAAAAAAGATGTAGGTCATAGATATCACTAATAAATGCATTGATGAAAAACTTGCTGTTGCAACTTATCTGTGAGTCTTACAATACTGAGTTATTGTGTTATACTTGTATCAGGGCTGAGGCAATTTGATGGAATTCATATGAGAAAATAAGCAGGGAACAGTTGTACTGTTATGTCGTAAACACAGTAACAGCACTGCTTTTCCTTGTCCCACACCAGTATATGTGACCGTGGTATTTCCCTTCTTGTTATATTGAATTAAGGCCGGCCTTATTACCGATTCTTTATCTTCAAAATCTTAGTACAATATTTTATATTTATGCTAGCAGCATAGAGTAATACGACAAAAACATTCTAATTGCATCTGAATTACTATAAATGGGAAATGCTTACAAGAATATGATTGAAGACGATAAAATTAACCACGATTAAATTAAATTCGATAAAAACAATCGTTCATCCGACTACGATTGCGAACAAAAATTTCCATAAATATTAGAGAAAGTATTATTTGTGGCTAACAGCGTTATTGGCTAACTCGGGCTTCATTATTAATGTGGACTACGTTTAATTTCGTAATTCAGAAAGTCCAAATGTGCATAATGGACGCCGCGCTGACGAGCGATAATTGGTTGACGTTTCATCTCGATCAAACATGGTCGCTGGGGCTAAAGTAAGACGACATTCGCACAGTATGCTCGGTCTGGTATGAAATCTGCCACGTGTTGATGTAAAACAGTGCACAAGTTGCCATTCCTCAAGTATTATTTACTCCCACCTGTCCGTTATGACATTTGCTCGAAATATTCCGAAATGTTTTATTCGCTTGTATTGCGCTAACAAAATTAAAAGTAAATACTACTTTTTTTTGTAACAGCTGAAAAAAGACGTGTATGTACTATTACATTATGTCCCCCTGATTTCGTTTATCGCCACTCGAGTGGAAGCCTGACAAACGCAAACAAAATAAATATATATTTTAGGATGAGAAACATGATTGTCAATTAACATTGCCGGCCGATGAACTCATTCAGTAATAGTTCTCTTCAAATGTACGCAAAATATTGCTCTCAGAACAAAGTTTAAATTAAATTTCAATCAAAATTAAACATTATCTAGACGTCGGTGGCCGATTCTTTATCCAATCATGCCAGGGCGTACAATAACTTAGTCGCAGCGCAGGTGTGCTGTTGAAAATTTTCATCAAATTGTCACGAATTTTCAGGTATACGATCCATTTAAATTCGCGCATAATGGAAACTTCGGCTATTTAGTGGAAAACTGAACTCGCAGTTTGCTGGTAATTACGCCACACGTCATCTCGAGTGATGCGTAAAAGAGTGTGTTGTGTCGAACTTGAAACAAATGACGACAGACAAGTAAAAAAGTCAATCACGAAAAATTCATTTTCATTTATTTACGTCCCGTAATTTGTTGCTATTTGGAGTGCCGCATAAACGCATTCGGCAGTTTTAACGCCACCGAAAACAACGATTAACAAATGTTCAATGTTTTTCTTTCGGTCCCGTAATTTGGTGTTATTTGGAGTGCTGCATAAACGTATTCGGTAGTTTTAACACCGCCGAAAACAACGATTAACACACGTTCAATGTTTTTTTTTTCGGTCCCGTAATTTGGCGTTATTTGGAGTGCCGCATAAACACACTCTGGCAGATTTAAAGCCGCCGAAAACGACGATTTAACAAACGTTCAATGTTTTTTTTTTTCGCTAAATCGCTCTCTTTTTCCGAATCGCGTAAATCTGATTCGAATCGATCCGGAAAAGATGCGATTCGAATCGATCCGATTCGTAAATCCAAAAGTGGCATCCCTACCTAGGGCGTCGCTGCTCAATAACCAGCTTTAGTTCCCTGCAACTTCACTTCCCTAGTAAAACTGTGTAAATTATCATTATCTTGTAGTTTGTCCTTTTTTGTACTGGTCGGAAAAAATAAACTTGACTCGAAAAATGATCATCTCTCTCTGCGCAAAATTCTCTTCCACCCTGCCATTTACCTGAGTGGCATTTTAGTCAACTACCGACACCTTTTATATAACGATTATTCTATTTCCAAGTCAGAATACACCACACCCCCGACACACCCACTTTCTTACCCAATGAGGAGACATCATCTTCTTCTGCTTCATCAAAACTAAAATCATGCTCAGAATCATCAGAGTTTAGTTTGCTGTCAGCATCTGAGTCTTCAGTGGTGGCCTGAGTCAAAAAATATTTAAAATTTCAACACAAACATGACTCCAAGCACATCATGTCTACAGTGAGAGTGAAAACTGTTTGCAATTTAAATTTAACCAGGAGAGTGGACACACCCATGGCACGCCCATTTAATGAGACATGCCCTTACCACACTATTTGTGGCAAAATATTGTTAATATACAAAATAAGTTGCTAGAATAACGATCAGCAAAAAATGGTTTTACTCCACCCACATTTTAGGGCACAGCCATAACACACCTATTTTTTCTAAGCCACGCCTCCGACACACCCACCCTTTCCTACACAGGCGATACATAATAGAGTTGGCAGATCTATGCCACGATGTTGTTTGAAGTAAAATTTTTTGTCGATATGTGAAAGGTATGAAGATCAGCCCTCTATAGCGGACACACCTATGCCACACCCAATTGGAGTACAACATTGTCAAAAGAGGAGTAAATTATGTCCAGACTCCCAACACACCAACCTCTTCAGACACCCCAATAATAGATAGATATGCCCATGTCACACATATTTGCAATTCGACACAGTACACCCCACCCACATTTTAGGCCCCACCCATATATTTCTAAGCCATGCATCTGACACACCCACCTCTTCATCCTCTTCAGGAGACACATAATCAATTTCGAATTCTTCATCTTTCTCCAAAACCATTTTAAATTTTTTCTTTTCATTTTTTGCTTCTTTGTCTTTTTTCTTTTTCTTTAATTTTTTGGAAGATTTGCTAAAGTTTGAAAGAAAAAAATTATTCACTTAAAAGTTGATTTTTTAAAATTCAAATGCAGCAACAATCAGGTTAGGGAAATGGTCTATATCGCACAAATATAAACCCAATGGGAATAATTATGTGAAAAACTTATCAATATCACAATGTGGTTGCCATGACAACTAGTCTGTTATGAATTTCTTTCCAATCAGGGGCCAAAAATTTTGCCCACCTAGACAGGCAAGCCATGTAAGTGTAGTGTGGCGTAGGATGTTACATTTTATTTGCAGCGTTGCAAATACAAGAGTGGAAAACAATGAGCTTTGTGCCAAAATTGAATTTAATCACTATCTCAACAAATTCCTTGATCTATTTTTCAGTTAAAACATCAAAATTTGGTTTTAGTGTAGTTGTGGCAGCATAAAGCGGGCCAGATTGAATTACCAAACTGGTCTGGCAGATTTGGCCCCGGGCCATAGTTTGACCATGTCATATCTAGACCATGGTTTGCCATCTGGCATTTTTGCGATCCATGAATTTTGGTGATTACCCAAATGAAATTGATTTTATTCACGAAGCATTTTAGCCCAGAAAAAAGCTCTACTATATTCAAATAGCCCATCTAATTTCTTGAGGTCTCAAGATATCTTAAGTTGTCTTCAGTTTCACTCTGAACAAGACTCAAGACAAGCAGATACTCGTACATGATGGGGTAATATAATTCTAAAAGATGGAAAACCACATATTCGCTCCCAATGTATTGCACCCACAAGATAGCTCAGATTGTTTTTTTGAAAGGGTTTCCACACATTTACTCAGGAAGCGTTCTTGTTTTTTTTTGAGGGGCTTCCCCACAACCTCGCCACCAGATGTAATGCATTGGGCAGCCAATGTCGAACCAGAGTGGTGTCCATCTCTCTGAGAATAGTATCTAAATTTGATGTATCAGTAGATGCTATTACATAGCCTTGTTCAGTGTGAAAACACTACCTAAGAATGGTGACTCAGCGTTATTTTTACCTGTTTGTTGATAGACTGGATGGTGTTGATGCTCGACTGCTTCCTGGACTTTTGTTGCTAAAAATAAAAAAATAGGCTTCAAAAATCATTCAACTTAAGAATGAATAGTAATATTTCTTTGTAAAGTTGTGGAAAAAGTTGCCAAACAGAAATTACTGATTCGCTATACAGGGTGTCCATAAAGTCCCTTTACTACAATTTCAATTTTGTTATGAAGTCAGTTCTCAATATATATCTTAACCAGGTTTGTTATTTTTTGATCAGTAATTGTTCAGGTATTTTTACTTCATTCAATACATCTGTGAGGGTCAAAACAATACATGGTATCGACAAATTCCCTTTAAAAAATTTCAAGACTTTAAGGACACCCTGTATATATATAAATAAGATCAGATATATTCTATAATGGCATGAATTCGCGATTGATTTGCCGACCAAGCCGATATATAGGATTGAATGAATGTCAAACAAGCCTTTTCGGTTAATTATAAAAGCATTCTGAAGAACAACTTTAAGCACTTTTTTTTAATAGAAATTCGAAACCTCGGCAAATTAAATCGTTTTGCTATACACCAGTTGTTCTTCACTTATCTCCGACATGAATATACTTGGTGGCAATCATGCGCTATTTTTAAGCATATTCTTCTCATATTTTCAATGTTCATTTTCAGAATATATATTTGCTAACACATTTACCACACAAAGATTTCCAAATGACAAATTTAACTACGATTGTTAAGTCAATTCCAATTTTTTTACAAACTCATGTTTACCTCAAGTGGATTTAATTTTTTTTAGCGAATTAAAAATTGAGTTAATGCTTTTAAAGAACAATATTTAGTGAAATGTAAAAATAATTCAGTCTTCTATCCTGCGGAAACATTTCGACTTCGAACTATACTCCAGAGGGTACATTGCGCAGAATTTTCCTATTATATTTTGAAATTCATTACATATATGGAATTGCCTCTTTATTAATAAATTGAAATCAAATGTTTTGTGTCTAGTGTTGAACAGCATTTACTGGCAGATAATTCGTCAGCATAATTTTATGAAATTTCAGTAGCGCTTGCCATTTGTACCCTGATGTAAATAATTTAGCCGGGTGTGTTTGCACGACATAGATTTGAGCAAACTTTTTATGAAGGAAGAATGAGAAAAAGTATTTGTGAACAATTCATATCATTTTTTTAAAAGACGTCGCTGAAAGCAAGAGCAACTAAACTATAAAGACTTGGCTATAATAGCTTTATGTTCACGAATATTAAAGGTGTTAGGCTTCAAGTCAGCATTTGTATCAGAAGATACCTGCTGACCTGAGAGAACAGCCAGGACAAACACCAATTGCAAAATTGAGTGAGACAATAGCTTATTGTGCATCAGTACTTATGTCTACAAATGCACACACAGATGAAGCTATTGCTGTATTGCCTTACTACCCAATGCTTCCCTAGCTTTGTTTCAAAGAAGGGTAAAAATAATTAATAAAATTAAATCAACACACAATTGACTTCTGCATTCAGGAAATCCCAAAACCCTTTAAAAAAAATAGGGGTCTGCGACCCAAACTGTCAAAAAAAACTTTCCCGCGTCTACGTTGCGTAAATTCGGTTCAAAATGGTTTCCCGGGAAAAGCCGTTTGTAAGACTTGCTCGCCGGGTAAAATTTTCAAAATTTCGACAAAAAGCACGTCCAAGGGTGATCAAAATCACAAGACACGGTTCAGCAAGCACAGTGACATCACACAACAACAATTCTTAATGACCTCACAGTGACGTCATCATTTACCTTGGCAACAACTTTCGGGTTGCCGCAACCCACCCAGGTGAATTTGTCAATTTCTTCAATTCCGCGTTGACTTTTTGATCTCCGGCGAAACAACTAATCCATTCACCCTCTCCGTTTCGTTGCTTTTTCTTAAACATTTTCAATTTCTCCATTTTCCACCCAAAATTATTGAATTAATATCGGTAACTAAGGACAAATCACGTATATTCCATCGCCATTGCGTCACTAGACCGCCGCCATTAAAAAACGTCCAGGCACCTCGCCGTTGAATGTCACGTGATGCGCAAATAAACGATAAGCATACTTGTCGATAGTTCAGCACAGCGCTCCATAATGTAATTTCGCCTAACTCGCGATGTTTTCATCGTATTTTTGAATATGAAATAAAGCTTATTAAATTATTTTGGCAAATATGATCTACATAACAACTGCTTTTAATCATTAATGTTTTTTCTGTTTTGAAGGATCTTAAAAATAAAAAGTGTAAAAAACAGGAAAAAGTCAACTGCCCCAAATCGAATATTGTATTAGCTAAAATGTACCCGATCATGCCTCCGATAATATGACACGGAAATAATTGATCATAAACGTTGTTAGTGTTCATTAGTTAGAATGAGGAATTATATAGATTTAGTAAAGGCCTGAATCAAGCAAAATAATATATATAATTCCACACGCCTGCTCACCAAAATATTAAGTTGGTACTATAGAGTAAGGTTCGGCACTAAAATTGCCAACTTCTGTTATGATAATGGTTATTGTTGTCAAATTAAAATAACAATTGAATAATGCAGTCTTGATATTGAAAAAAAGCTGAATAGATGCAAGAGAAATCTTCTTAGACCCAATGTTGTTACTGTAATTCCGAGCGCATTGGTTGTCACCAAGAGCGTAGACAGTCCAATATTGGGGCGGGGGGGGGGGGGGGGGGGGGGTTGGTTTAATGACGCAATAGGACGCTCACACTTATTCAGGTCAGCCAGATAAAAGCGATCACATATATGGTGACAAACAGAGGTGAGAAAAGTTTTTGGACCCGGGGCCATGTAAGTGTGACGTTAAAAATTACATTTTATGATTAATATTTGTGTACTAAAGGTGGAAAACAATGAACCTCGTGACAAAATTAAATTTAAGTTGTTTTTTAACTAAACTTTTATTTTTAACTGAAACGTAAAAATTAAGTTTTAGTTTGGTTGTGGAAGCATCCGCGGACAGATTGAATTACCAAACGGGCCCGATTTGGCCCTCGGGCCGTAGCTTGTCCATGTCAGCTCTAAAGCCTAAAGCGAATTCGCTGTCAAAGTTATCCAAGGTATACAAAGGCGCAATTTAATCTATCTCGGTTGGTTCATTTAGTAGAGTCTGGAGGAAGGATTATTGGTAGCAACCCAAGAAACGTCCGGTTTTCGGTGAATGTGGGGTTGGAAAAGGCATATAAAATCATGTCTTACAGCAAACCCCGCAAAATTGCATTTGGAAAAAATGTTGAAAAAAAATTTACTTCTGAACCCTTAGCCCCGGCAAGATTCTAATTCTACCAAATATGAAGTAGGCTAGCTCACTACATATCGTTATTGCATAATTAATCGAAGCAAAAAGCGCGAACAATCGACATATAAAAAATTTGCCAACTTGCCGCTACAAACAAGAGCGTAGCCAGTCCAAGTTTTTTTGCTCAATGACGTAACACTACGCTTACTCGTGCCTTCTGCTCCGAACAAAGCCAGATAGAAGTAGCCACTGTTATATACCAATATCTTGAAGAATTTCTCTACAGACTTACTGTCGAAGTTATCCGAGGTTCATAAGCATGCGTTTTCAGCTATCTTGTTTGGTGGGAGTGGGAGGATTGTTGATAGAAAGCCAGAAAACGTGCGGTTTTCATCAAATCGTTCAAGAGTAGAGCAAAATGGTGCTGGAAAAGACGCATGAATTTATGTCGTACTGCAAATACCGCAAAATTGCATTTAAAAAATATCATGTGACCGCAACACATACACACGAAAAATACAAAACTGGTGTTTTCTACATGAGCGCAGAAATAAATTCGATGAAATTATTCTCAATGTAAACATGTCTACGACTCTACGAAAGAGGCGGTTTAACGAGGCTTGGTCCACAAATAAAACAAAAAATACACGAATGTATTGAACTTTCGGACTGTGGTACTTCTAAAACACTTAGCTAATAATATTCAATCTGATATCGTGTGTAATGCATTATTCATTTCTATACTATTTCTAATACTTTTTACAGTCGTGTACGTTTATTTTTTTGCATCATGATGATGTCATAATACATGCATAAGAATGGTTTGCGCAGATATATCCATTACGCAGTGGCGGCGCGTCAATATGGCCAACCGGGGCAATGCCCCGGTTGTTTTTTCGGTATAATAAAAAATATTCGAAAAATACCTCAATATCGGTTGCACAGACTGTCTACACTAGCCATATTCTCCCGACATGGTTCATTTTTCGCTCGCAAAGCCTTCGCCGAACGTCGACGGGGCGACGCCGATTTTGCCCCGGTTGCTCATTGTATATCGTATTCTCTCTTTTATCTTCCACTCGCCGCGTTTGTCTCGTTTGTTTTCTGTTTCTTTTACTAAATCATCGGGGCCGATCGGGGCTAGCTCCGAAATTATGACGACACAATGCCGACGTTTCTTACAACAACGTGTTGACATATTCACGCATTCCTTCTCGTTCGTTGGTTGCTTGAAGAGTTGATAGTTTCCTCGCCTTCGTTTTTGTCGCTTGTTTCGCTATTTGAATCAATTAGAGACCTTTAGTCCATTTGCTTTCGATTTTCCACATTCCTATTGAGCTCCTCACTTCTTTCCGACTTCGCATTTCTTAGCCTTAGACCTCATAATGAATAAGGTTGATGCACTACTTCGCACTCCGTTTTCGCAGCTGCTGCTGGAACAAAAATTAGAGGTACAACGTCTTGGGCCTTATCAACCAAAAAATTGTCTCAACTCAATGTATAAAATTTATTTACAACATTTGGCTCTGGAAATTGAGAATTGCCAGTTCCTTTCGATTCAGTCTGACGAGACAACAGACATCACGTGCGTTTCCCAACTGGCTGTGATTTTTCGGTTTGTGAAAGATGGTAAACCTACCGAGAGATTTCACAGCTTTGTACCAATCGTTGATCGCACGGCTTGCGGGATATCGGCTGTACTGAAAGAAGTGTTACAGCCTTACAACGGGAAGTCAAAATTGATAGCTCAAACTTATGACGGCGCGGCAGTCATGAGTGGGTCGAAACATGGTGTTCAAGTTTATATAAAAGAAGATTTTCCTCATGCGCATTTTTTACATTGTTATGCACACCAATTTAACCTCGTTATTAAAAATATGTGTCTTGATACCCCTCTCGTCCGTATATTTTTTGCAAATGTTTCGGGGTTTTCTTCATTTTTTTCCGTTTCGCCGAAGCGCTCTGACCTCCTTCGCCAGATATGTAGCCGCCGTCTCCCAGCTTGTGCACCAACACGTTGGAACTTCCAATCACGCGTGGTGTAGGGCGTGTCCGAAATTAGGTCTGAGCTCATTGAGTGTTTCAATGGCATTCAGAGCTCTCCGGTTTGGGACGAAAGCTCTGTGAGGGAGGCGGCAGGTCCAAAGCGTCTGCTAGAAGATGGTGAGTTTTCATTTTTTCTCCACAATATTCTATCACGTGGATGTATTATACGGCGCATTGCAGTCAAGGCTAATGGATGGAGCGTCTGTGCAGTCGTGTATTTCAGACTTCTGCGATGCTGTATCTCGTATCCGGGAAACAATAAAATACGACGACACATGGAGTGCTTCTTTACGCCGCGGGTAAACAACGCAGCGTTTGATTTTGTCTGCAAAGGAATGCTGTGACATTCTGGTGAATCAAATAGGCGATCATCTGCGCACTGAACACCTTGCCGCGTTCTCTTTGATGAACCCCAAAAATTTTTCAAAATTTGCACGTCAATTTCCCATCCATTTGTTGGCTACTGTCTCCAAATTTTACCCCATGATAAACGTGGGTAAATTGGAAAATGAATTGCGATGTATATACACCAATCAAACTTTTTTGAACATCACATCAACTTGCGCGCTCTATGGGTTCCTCATGTATAACACTCTAGTAACTACCTTTGCGGCGTCTGCACAATTTCTGGACATCATTTTGACGACGCCTATTTCTTCCGCCGACGCAGAGCGAACATTCAGCACGCTGAAGCGTATTAAAACGTATCTCAGAAACACAATGAAGCAAGATAGATTAAATTCCTTGGCTGTTTTATCCATTCACAGAGACGTTATTTCTGGGATGCATGACTTTAATCAGCGCGTTATTGAGCATTTTGCTTCCAAGAAACCGCGGCGTGTTGCATATATGTTCAAGCAGTAGAAGTCTAGCAGCATATATATCTATGAGTGAGCGACGCATGTCCTTATCTTTGCATTACTTTCCTTTCTTCATAGTAACGTTTTACACCTTATTTTAGGTTTTGTCTGCTTTCCCGAAGTTTCTGTTAATATGTCATTGTATTTATCTGGGTAAATATTGCCTTTCCTTTTGAAAGAGGTTTCAAAATAAACTATGTCTATATTTATTAATCCCTTGACTTGGACCGGTTTTAAAGACACTTTCTTATCGTTAAAAATTGTCGCTTTTTCCGATTGGTTGTTACCGATGGAATGGTTTTTATACTCATAAAATGATGGGAGAACTTACAGCGCTCATCCTGTCCCCGTAGATGGGGGTGACTTGGTCCCGCAGTAGCTCGCCCCGGTTGTCAAAATGACCAAGCGCCGCCACTGCCATTACGTCATAAGTAATGAAAGTGTAACATGCGCACAAATGCGCGATAGTCATTGGAGTTTATAAGTTGATGCTGCTACATGCTGGTCTATATTTAATCCTTTGTATTTACCAATACAAACTGTGTTTCTGAAAATCTGAGTATTCATATGTTCATAGCAACGCTTCTAGGTATCTTGACGATAACCCAACGAAACATATTTTAATTTTTTAAAATATAATTTGATCGTACTTAGGAATGGAACGAGATTCGATATCGAATTCACACATTTTCAAGATTCGGATTCAATACCAGCAGGTTCGCGTATTTTTGCCGAGTCCGTAGTCAATTATTTTTTCACAAATTGAAAAATCTGTTATGTACGTTCGCCTTCAAAACGGCGAGTACAGACAATATAACTAAGTCAAAAAATATGTGAATGGCCATTTAAGATATTTAAAACA